CTCTGTGGGTGTATACAAAGAAAAGAGATGAATAGTAGATCCCCGTATAACGCGGAAAATACGTTTCGCGGTGTACAAGTGGTCGCAAACTTGTTTACCGCGTTACAAACTGTCCCGTTATATGGTGATCTACAGGTGTGTTTTTATGAATTAAAACACGTGCGAGTGAAGAAAACGTAATAATTTACTCTAAGTAAAAAGATCGTCCGTGCACGCATGATACAACACATGCTTACGACGTAGAGACGACAAAAATTATGTTACATGCGTGGTCTTTACATCACGGAATGGGTTGATATATAAAATATCGAGATTTACCAGTCTCTTCTTCGTAAGACCAAAGAATCGGTGACGACAATGATAATATTGGGTATTTTTTTCTCGTCGCAATATTTTCCGATCATCTCCGCCAAGTTGTTAATCACGCGTTATCAAAATTGATGTTTCCATTCTATCAGTTTTTACACATTTTTGATTTTCCAACGATGCGTTTCGATCGTTTGCATCTTGTTGGGTTGCCAGAAACAGCGTATATGGTGTAATCGATACAAGTATAATTTCGCAGAGAAACCTTGAATACACTCTCGATCGATGTATTTTGCCGGTATAAGTTTGTTTTCAGTATTGTATTCAATTTACGTTCCTCCGCAAAAATATCCAAAACCATCGATCATCGATTTGAAAAGGTCGTCGTGATACTACGTAATTATCGATCGGGGGTGTGTCGCACAATAAACGAGAAATCGGTACGTTAACAAACCGTATGTAGTAAATGCTTTCTTCGGAAAAGCTTTAATACTGCGTTATGAAAACATTGCTAGAGCCAAGACCGTACTGTAAATAGAAGTTTCGTTACGCGAGAAAGAACATCGGAATGAGAAAGAAAAACCTACGGCCATAATGTAGATTTAATTATAATATCTTTTGTCCGCGTGCGTACGTATGTGTTTGTTTGCGTGGATGTGTGCATGCGCACGAGTATAAAGTTCGCGTGCGTTCGAGAGACAGAGACGAACATGTAATTATGGTACGTGCGCGTGTGTGGATGCGTGTACAATGAGTGAGACAGATAGAACGACGAGCGAATTACGCGCTACGTGTTCTCGAACGACGAAAAACAATACTAGCGTTTAAGCAAAGAAGCGAACACCTTTGTATAGATTTTTAAGGTTCCATGCTAATATACCGTCGCGCTATACCGATGAGATCGTTGGAGCATCTAAAAATCATTTCACACGATTCGTAACGATTAGAAAGTTTTGCGTTTCATTAGTCTGCGAACAAGTGAATATAATTTATTTTCATTCGAATGTAATAGTGGACAATAGTTTACGGTATAAATTTCGTGAAAAACCGAGTAAGCAATCTTGGAACCACGTTTCGATACGTTTCCATCGGTAATTGTGCAACATTTATTATACATAGACACCGAACGCAAGCAAAGTCACAGCGGCATATCGCAACGGTATGGATGAGTACACTTTTTAGCTACGCGTAAAAAGACGCATCATTGCCTGTAATATTCGGCCCCGGGTACGGCGCGTTCCTTCGCGTTTCCGTCCTTAAATCAAATGAAAACGGTAATGATTCGTTCGGTAATATAACGAGTCAACGAGAATAGATGCGTTGCGACGAAACGTGCGAAATCAATCGAGAGAGTTGCTTCCGCACCCCGGAAAAACGGCATTTTCGTTATTTTTCGTTTATTTTATCTAGCAAGATAATAAAAGAAACGAATAAAGGAAAGTGCTACGTTTTAATCGAACACGATGTTTTTTTCCTTTTCTTTTATATATATATATATATATTTGTTTTCTTATGTCCATTTGCTGTCAGTGTTAAAGATATGCCATTCGATTTCTATTGCTTTTTTATGATGATTCACGAGAAAACGCCGACCGTTACTTTTTCATTGGTTTTCGGATGATTTTTCGTCTGCAACGAGCAGAGTTAAAAGTCGATCTCCGATGAGAGCGATGCTCGTACTTGTTTTTCTCTTTAAAAATAAGACGCCAAATCGTGAAATTCACTTTCGTGTAAACAAGAAGCAACGCGAAGTAACAGAACGTGAGAGAGAGAGAGAGAGAGAGAGAGAGAGAGAGAGAGAGAGAGAGAGAAAGAAAGAGAAAGAAGAGAACGCGTGTATTTTATGTTACGAAGGTCTACTGTGTGACGCGACTTAACATTGGTCTTTATCAACGTATACATGGTTTACCAATCGTTGCGAATAGGCAGCGTCCATAAAATATACGTGCCTCTCGCGAGGCATTTTCGGCTGCGATGTAAGACGAAGAAGCTATGCAGGAACGTTTTTGGAAATGCAGTTCATCCAAACCCGCAAACGGTATTGTTTTTTCCATGTAAAAGTCAGAAAGTCTTACGAAAACTTTGTAAGCTTCCTAATAAAATAGCATTTAATTGAATAAATGTGAAGCAAGTGTTGTTGTATCCTCTCGTTATCTACGGTTTTGATCACGCTCAGAGTGCACGCGTCTCGGCGCTCTATGCGTGAAAACTCGTAGTGCACGCGACGGTAAAACTTTACGCACTTGACCTACCGTAACGTATCGTTCGTGCCGGATTTAATTTCAAAGCAAAAAACTATCCCGTTTCGTGAGATTTTCAAAGTTTCAGTCGAGAGTCGATCGTGTCTCGATACGTAGCGTTTCGTTCCCGAAATCTATAGTTCACTTCGTATCGGAACTGGTTCGATCGAGAATCGAGTTACATTGGCCGTTTGAATACCGAATAGTAATTGACTTTACTGTATAGCGTATCGTACCTATGTACGCGTATATAGGATTGTAACGTAAATATACGCGACACATGATCGCGCGAGTCGCTAAATTCACGACTTCTGTTTTTTTTTTTTTTTTTTTTTTTTTTTAATGTTCAATCGAATATTAAAATGTATATTTTCCAATAGAAATGCAAACGTACTTAATTCATTTCCTGTTACCGCGTTCCCTTTATGTAGATGTTACGACAACATAATTCGACGACAGAATGTCGTTTAATTTATTTTCGGGACGCTCGGAAAGTATCGATCAAATATACACCACCTCCTTGGAGAATGTCTCTTGCCGTTGACACGCATTGTCGACGATCCGTGAGACGAGAATATGTGAACGGAACGTGTTTAGTGAAACAATTTGGTAAATGTTCGGAACGTCAACGCTGACGCGACAAGCGACAACGTATCCTCTCGAGTGTCCATGCTGGAGATCCTATGGACCAAACGAGTTCTCGCGATACAAATTCACCAACGGTCAACAGAGTACCGGAAAAACCGCCGTTCAAACTTTGCTTTTCCAAGGATCAACTTCTCGGGAAATCGAACGTTCGCGGTTCCAAAATCGACGGTACGCACGATACTCGCGCAACGGCTTTGTTCGGTAACGTCGCACGTGCACCCCATTTATAACGTTTACTTGTTTGCTTGTTTTGTTTTACCACGCGCGGCTAAAGAAAAAGAAAACATACTAAAAGGGGTCTCGACTGCGTCACAGGTGATACGATCACGCCGAAATTCTACTCGAGGAATTACGAGAACGCAAGCGATTCGAATACAACCGATACGTTCGAAGAAATTCGAAACCAGGAAAGAAAAACTCCCAGGGATTGTTGTCGTTGGCCTTTGCTGACCAGTAGCATGTAATCACGATATCAGTTTATAGTTTTCTTACCTGTTTTTCTCTCTTCGTTATCATATTATGGCCGTTTCTTCTTGTTTTGTAGGTACGGTTGGTGGCACGAATACGGAATACAACCGAAAGGCTCTCAATTAAACTTTCACAAAAAGACCTCGGATTTGGTGAATTTTCAGATGAAAATATACGCAGAGGATCGAAAACTCGGAAGTCTAAAGCACTAAGGGGTTTCGTTTCAATTATTGAAATATACGGTTAGCGAGAGGATACGACGATCGAGCTATGTAGAAAAAGATGGACTTTTAATAAAGAGAGATATACTATTTTCGAGACTACTTTTACTACCAATTCTTTTTTTATGGTTTAAAAATGATTTGTGCCTTATAACAAATTACTTTGAGAAAATTATTTTTTGCACTACATTCAACTATTTTACTTTACACATATCCATTCACTTGAAAAGTAAAAAAACAAACAAATGGTATCAGCTTGGATCAGAACCCTCGAAGTTTTGCATCAGTGGCGCCATGGGTGGGAAAACGTCCAAGTTTGTAGCGAAGATAGTTCCCACTGTTACTAATAGATGACTCCGTCTACTATCATTGTCTTCGCCATCTAGTGGTGAAAAATCGAACTAATTTTCGGAGTTTGGTCAGCGCCTCTATCGGGAAAACGCCCAAGTATGTCGCCTATTAGTTCCCACTTTCGACATTAGATGGCGACACTATCTGCATTGAAGAAACGGGGGCCATCTAGCGTTGCGAGAGAGAACTAATCGGCGACAAACTTGGGCGTTTTCCCGATAGAGGCGCTGACCAAACTCCGAAAATAGTTCAGCCTCTGAACACTAGATGGCGACGACAATGATAGTTCATGGCGCCATCTAGCAGTAGCAGACGGAACTATCTTCACGACAAACTTGGACGTTTTGTAGTTAGATGACGCCACCGTAGGTTAGAAAAATTAACTTAAAACTGTTATCATTTTTACAATGTCCAAAGCATTTACTTTACACGTTTCGATAGCACACTTAGAATAAGTTAGACATAGTAATAACCAAATTATATATAAATAGATCTAGGGTAATAGACATAAGTTCCTAAAGATTACTACCAAATGTTCCTATTAAGATTAAGATAATTCTATTATGTACATTCTCTACATGTTGTAAGAACATATTTACAAAATGTAATTTTTTACAATAAAGAGACCCGAAGACACATAGGTCCGAATCGGGCCTCAAGTGTTTTTTTTTTAAATAAAATAACCGCTTGACCACGTCGTTCGCTTCCATAGCATTTGTTGGTCCATGACACGAATCACTAACCCTAGCCAACCTGACGTGTATACCAGTGTATACTATTGCACGTGTACGCATTCTGTATACGCGTATTATTTGTAGGTTATGCGTAAATTGCAAAAATGATATTTTCAAATGTTAAATGACTATTTGTAACGGTTGAGAAGTTTACAAACGGAAGTTTATAAGATATCTGATTAATTAATAACACGTTATCGTCGTTCTTATACGATTTGCCATGGAAATTTCCAAAATCAGATTCTTATTATCGCAACTGAATGTTCGGGCTATTCGTCGTAGTTTACAGTTGCGCTATTATTCCGAGTATAAAGTTTCGAGCAAGGAAGTTGAATTCGAAGCTGATCCAAAGGTTGTAGGTTTGCGAGAGAAATTGTTGTATTGCGATTATTTGGATCACGAATATGTTAGAATGGGATTTAAAGAACGTAGAATGAAGCAAAGGAAGCTGTTAGAGCAAAAAAAAATTACGACTTATAGAAGACTGATCGAGGATCCCGCGCTTAGCGTTTTTTTAAACGCTGCCGACAAAGAAGGAGGTGAGAAAACGTCGATTCGAGCAGACGAGCAAGTTTGCACGAAAACAGAAAACAAGAAACCGGTGTATATGCCGTATTCGAGACTAGATTCGTACGAAACTACAGATATTTTGTCGGAAGATAAAAAAGACATAACTGGGATGAACGAAAAATACAAAGATTTGTACGAAAAATATTTGGAGATAAAAAAAAGCAACGCGTATAGCAAGAGTGAATTTAGCTTTTCGGATTACATGGAAAATAATTCGAACGATATATTACCGAAAGGTGAATTGTGGAAAGTTCCGTCAACTTGGATGTCCGATTTCGAACAATACGACGAGTCGATAACGAGTGCCGATTTGTATAAATATTATGGTACGCCGAATCCTTCTTCCGAAGTTAGTTCGATTCCATGCGGCGGTTGCGGCGCTTTATTGCACTGCAAAGATCCTGCCATTCCTGGATATCTACCATCGGAATTAATCTCGAAAACAGATAACGAAGATTTGAAGCTGATGATTTGTCAAAGATGTCATTTTTTAAAATTTTACAATGCATCCTTGGAAGTGAACGTGTCGATAGAAGATTATCCAAAATTGTTAAGCATAATAAAAAGAAAGAAATGCGCGATTATATTGATAGTAGATTTGACCGATTTTCCTTGCAGTATTTGGCCCGATTTGAAGAGCATCATGCATCCCTTTACGCCTGTATTTCTGGTTGGGAATAAAATAGACTTGTTGCCTAGGGACTGTCCAAGTTTCTTTTACGATGTTAAAAAACAGTTATTAGAGACGTTGATCGATAGAACAGGCATAAAAAGAGAGAACGTGACGCATGTTGCTCTTACTTCGGCAAAGACTGGATGGGGCATAGAAGAGTTAATAAATAAATTGCAACTAAAGTGGCGACACAAAGGTACGGGAAAAATACGCGAGATGAACCCAGGAATATTGAAATCCATTTAATAAATTTTACGTACGAAACTGTCGAAATTTTAGGAGACGTTTACTTAGTCGGCTGTACAAATGTTGGAAAGTCTTCTATGTTCAATGCGTTATTAAATTCCGACTACTGTAAAGTACAAGCCATTGACCTTGTACAACGCGCGACAACTTCCCCTTGGCCAGGAACAACTTTGAATTTATTAAAATTTCCTATTCTGAATCCGACCTCTCGGAAGGGGTGGTTAAGAATGCAAAGACTTGAGAGGGAACAACCGTTAAAAATTTCGGAATCCAAGTTCAGAGATAATAAATTTAAGGAGACGAGGAGTATGCGATACGCGACGTTACAGGGTACAGGAAGTTTCAAATCTTTTCAAGATTTTTGTCGATGAATCGAGAGGATGAATTTTTAATAGAGATTTTTCCTTTGCCCACGTTCCGATCTAGGTTATGTCGGTAAAACGTTTTCGGGAAGATCGTTGGACGATGAGGAGGCTGATCTTTTCATAGAAAGATCGGCGAAATTTATGGAAAGAAAACTTGGTCTAGACGAATCTCGAAAAGAATATAAAGAGAGTCGTTGGTGCTACGATACTCCTGGTACCGTACAGCGCGATCAAATATTAGATTTATTAACAACCGACGAACTATTGACAACTCTACCGCAAATGATCATAGCACCGAGAACATTTCTTCTTAGACCGAAAGAAACCGTGTTCGTAGCTGGCATGGGAAGATTGGACTACGTGGAGGGAGATCTTTACATCCGGTATTCCACTAATATCAACTTTATCGGTGATTTTAACTGGACGCTACGTATCGTATCGATACGTACGAAATCTTAATTCTTACGTTATACCCTACTTATAATATTGATCAGTGTTATTAGTAAAAAGATATTCGATTTATACTCGAAATTATGCTTTGAAACAGGTGTACGTTGTTTACAAGCAGAGAACTACCCGTAACGATTTGTCACACCGTTGACGCGGACCAAATTTACGATCAGCTGTTGGAAACCGAAGCCTTTGTCGTCCCTACGAACGATCCCGAACGGTTGAAAAGATGGCCAAAATTGAAATCGAAGGAAGTGAAAATCACTGGTATCAATACAGAGGAATCCGCCGCAGACGTCGTATTGTCGAGCATAGGTAATTTCCCGATAATTGTATTCGAACGGAACGACTATTATCGCGACAAAAGAAAAATAATATCGGCATTTAATTGTTTAGGTTGGATCGCGATCACGTGTAACGAAAACGAAAACGTTACGTTAACCGCGTGGACGCCCGAAGGTCGTGGTATACACGTAAGGTCTCCGGCGTTATTGAAGAAATCCGTGACTCATCGTGGCGCAAAAATACATGGAACTCCTATGTATTCGTTGGGACGAAAAATGTACGTTAAATAAATACATATTTATGCGCATAAACAGCGATTGCAGTCGTTTTCCTCCATGTGTTTTCTAGTTTATTTTTTCCCGCAAACGTTGAACTCGTAGATTGCTCGATTCGCGTTGCCATCACGATCGTTCTTTAACTTGCTGTGCGCCAAGTTTTGCCTGCTTATACATTCGTTTGTAGAACCGTTCCAAGTTTGTATAAAATCCTTGCTTTTCCTCGGGTTGATGTTGCGCGTAGAAAGCGTCGCATTCTGAAATACTAAAGTTTCGTTCGAATGATGCTTCGGTTCGCCACGGATATTCGGCTAAGAAATTAGGAAACCTACTTAGGTACTTACTTCTCACCGCAGCCTCTACTCGGGCAGTAGAATTTTTCCTTCTTTTGAAGATATCGAATTCTTGGCTGAGCTCTGTAAGAAAAAGAGTCGATTGCTCGATGCGAGGTTTGAAAAGAAATAACGTTCAAAGATAGACTTACGTGGATGTTGGCTGTTGCGAAACAGAATTATCGTTCATGCCACCGCAAGTACAAGACCGACGAATATCATAGGAATCATCGACGATGAATGATTCGAAAGATTCAACGGGCTCGATAATTTGTTTGCGTTCGTCGTCACTCGGCTCGTTGCATTCGCAAGCAAAGTAACACTTGTATTTTAAGCAAACAGGACAGCTATCGAATATATGAGCGTTCCCGCAAATAGTGGTAACTCCACGGAGATTTCTTCTCGTCGGATGATAACATTCGTTGAGTCGTTGTTGATCGTTCGATAAGAATTGATCCCGAGGATTGATCCTGAAAATATATCGATACGATCGATGGGAACGGCTCGTACGGGAGGGGAGGGGGTTATTTATTATACGATATACGGTAATACTTACGCCCGGCAGATTTGACCGCGAGGCTTCGCTCGACTGTGACAAACCTTCCTCTGTCTGATGATACCTTTGACCGGTCGTTTTCTGTGAACGCACGATGTTCGCTAAAGGAAAACGAGTCGCGTTCGTTAAACGAGACGATCGAAGCTTTTATTTTCTCGCGTTACCTTGGAGTTGATGGTTTTCGGATTAACCACGTACGCCTTGTCGACGTTGGCGTTGCAAACATCCGATACCTCTTCTATCACAGTTTTCGTCGAGATTTCAATTTTAGGCGCTATAATGCCCTAAATTAGCCGCGCGACGACAGATGAACGTTTCGATTAGAAGGGGAATAATAATCGAATCGCACGAATAACGAACACGAGTCTCGATAATCCAAGGTAAGCTTTGCGAAGAGCGAACAACGTTTATTCGTTATATCGTTACTCGTAAGAATCGCATATCGTTTACACGAATAAGCGTAACACGGATCGTCGAGACTCGGATTTCTACTAACGGGAAAGTATTTGGTTGGATCCATGAGCAAGTCTACGTCTATTCCGGGCATTAAACCTTTGTAATGAGGCACCGGGTACAGGACGTCTGCTAAATTGGTTTCGAACGTAGCCAACACAACGGTTTGGTTGCACGGGCTAACCCACTGTATCAATTCGGCGTAGAGAAACTCTTGCTCCAATTTTCGTTGCAACTCTGTCAAAGTAGCCAGCCGTGTGAAAGTTTTCTTAAAGTTAAGCTCGTTGTGAAATAATAGTGGAAAAATCGGTGATACTCTGTGAGATTCCAGGGTGGAGCCAATGGTGGTGATTCTCAGAGCTATTTTGCCGTTAGGGCACAGCCATACGCCGGGACATGTTACCTGAAACACCGTTTGCGTTAAACTTTGTTCGCGGTTTGACGGCGACGAGCAATCGTGATATGTACGGCGTGCAAATCCAATTGTACTTTTACGCGAAAACCTCTTCCTGCCATGGCTATAGCCAACAACTGTCACGGCTCGCCGCTATTGTTCTTCCGGTATCATTTTTTTTCTGTTTTTTTTTTTTTTTTTCTTTCGCGATCAGCAGGACAGACGGACGGGAAAACGAAGCGGTCACCAAATGCTTGGTCGAGTGTGTTTTCTCGAAAGCAACGCGACCCACACGCACTTTGAAAAGGCCTATGCCATTTTGATGCGGGACATCACCGTCGCGCCTGTTGCCAGGTAACAGCAAAGGCACAACATCGACATCGAATTCTCCCAACGAGCGACGATCGCTTCAGTCGACGATTCAAGATGCGATACGACTTTTGCGGAATTTCCACTCGCGATTGTTAAACTATGAACGGTATCCCGATAAACTTGTCCACCGGTAGACCTCTCTGAACGTGACGAATCCGAAGTTCGTTGGCGATAAAATCCGTTTCTTTTCTTGGAAACTGTAGCCTCGGATCCATAGTTCTAGGTATCAGTGGTTCCGAAAACCAGCCATATCTGCGGATTAAACGCGCAAACGTTAATCGGTTAAGTTGGAAATCTCGGCGTAAATATTTAGCGAACGTCGAATGCCTGGCCGTGACGTAATCGTGTGCGAGTCGTACTCCATGTTGACGGTTGGTGGTCGGAACGAGTAAATGTCCTTAGGGGTCGAGACGAACCGCTTCGTAATTAGATCGACGTACTCTTGTCGAACCTCGGACGCCGGGATCACGTCGTGTTTCGCGTAAAACTTGCCCGTCAGAGCCTTCGTTCGCGCGATGGCCACAAACTTTTCTTGTATCCGGTGGTATTTCTTCTCTTTTTCGTATCTTTCTGTATAAAATCGTAATTTTATGGGATTCATGCCGGCGATCGATCCAAGTTTGTAACTGAAATGTTGGAATCTTTGGATTAAGAATTTCAAATGGATAAAAGAATATCGAATGTAGCGAAAGTTTGGCCAACTTGGATTGGACGCGAAACGAGCCACGGTCCGTGGCGTATTCCACGATAAAAACGTGGTCGAGAAGAATAGCGAGATTCTGCGAGTATCGATAATGTTTATTTTAAAATACGTATATGAATAGAAAACGCATACATAACAAGCGGAAGACCATGGCTGATCAGTCAGAGGTTTCCACACATCCGTGTAACATCTCGAGCGATTTCTAACGAACATTGCCGAAAGTCTCTTGGTGAATATAGAATATCGTTGTTGCGAGAGAATCGCCGCGAACAAGCACAATTTTTCGAGCATAGTTTAGAGGGGAGCAAACTCGAAACTCCGCGACGCCGCGCTATCGGATTCCGTGATCGATAGTTGGCGCGAGCTGGCAATACCTTTACTTATATTTCTATAAATACCGAAGCCACGTTCGTTCTAGTAACGCGTTTGCTGTCGTTAACGAGAAAACGAGGAACTGGCTTGCACGCACAGCGGCTCGCCGTTGCACCCATACGGGAAGTATGCGCGCACGGAGATGAAACGTGCGTCGAGTTTGCGTCGCGCTTACTATATACACGTAATTACGAGTAATCGAATAATTTACGTAGCTATTTTTGTAAAACACACTCTTTTATAATATAGCGTGATAGCAATGGTAAAAAAAAAAAAAAGAAAGAAAAACAACGACAATCGCAACTCGTAACTCGTAACCGAAGAAATTAACTACGATCGACTGTACAAGTGGTCGGTTGCAAAGGATCCGCCGTGGTGACGTCGCTGTTGCTTCTGCTTCTGAAAATAAAAAAGATCTCGTTGCAGCGTGATGCGTCGATGAAAGAAGAGAAAAGTGCAGGCAACGTCGAGTATCCTACCTTGTTCGTTCCGTGGACCGACGTTGATCGTCCAGATCGACGAACTCCACGGTGGACGCTATATCCGCGCAAGGTACGCGTTTGGTCGCGGCGACGGCGTTGGTCGAGCGTAGCTCCGATGTTCCGTTGTAGTATCCGTTTTCGCATTTGTTCGGGTAGTCCGCGGAGACGGGCGATCGTCTTCCGATCGGGAAATAGTCCGAGCCGATAGGAGTCAGAAGCTCCTCGTAGTACTCGGCCGTCTTCGGCTCCGATAGACTGCTTCCGTACTTTCGCGGCAAAGTGGAGGAGCCGAGGCCGATTGCGTGGCCGTCGATCGCGGCGTTGTCCAGTTTCAGCAACCTAGATAGAGGAGCGCTCCTTCGTTCGTAACTCGCCGGATCGCGATCGGTGTCGACGGCAAAGTCGGCGCTGTGATATCTGCTTCTGGAGGGCGAGAGTTCGAAGCTCGGCGAGCCGAGATACCTTCTCAGCGGATCGTACGAGGAGGAAAGGGGAGGAAGATGGTCGGTCGGAGATCTCGGATCGGCGATATACGGTGCCGAAGCGGTCGCGTCGCTGTACCTCGATCTGTCGAGGGAAGAGGAAGCGTATCTTCCGCGACCGACGAGGCCGTCGTCGGCCAACAAGCTATAACTGTGACTTCTGTCGCTGTGTCTGGTTTTCGGTATCGCAGCCAACCCGTACCCGACAGCCCCGTATTTGCCGCGATCTCGATGACCGGAGAAACTGTACTTGCGGGGCAACGCGGCGGCGCTCGCCGAGAGTCCGAGGCCAGGCGGAGGCACCGTCAGCGACGGTCGCCTCCGGTCGTTGAATCTCGAGTAGAAGCTTCGTCGACGGATACGATCAATCACCGACTCGGAGTTGTCGGCCCTCGCGAGCAGAGACTGCGTCGGGGAGGTCGCCGGCGATTGAAGCTCGGGCCTCGCATGGTTCATCTCGGCCGAGCTGATCGACCACGAATCGAAGCTCTCGGGCTCGTCGACGGGAGAGAACGGCTCGCTCGGTTCGTCTATCGGCGACTCTTTCCGAGTTTTCGCGGTCACCGCCAAGTCGGAACTAAGCCGCTCGTCTACAGGCTTGCCAGCGCGATCTTTCCCCACGTCGTCGTTGCTCGAGGACTCGGCGTGGCTCTCGATGATTCTCGCGCATTCGGTCACCTCTCTCTTTAATTCGGCGACGTCTTTCGCGCGCAGAGGTTTCTCGATGATTATCTTGTTCCCGGAGATGTTTGCGCGATGCGTGACTTTCGCGAGACAATCCATCAGCTTGTCGGGGAACTGTTCCTTCGCGGCAGACTTCGGAGATTCGGATTTCGGCGAGTCCTTCTTGGCCATGGTGGAACTCCTGAACGAGTGTTGAGGTATTTTCGATAGATCGAGCTTCAAGTTGCTTCTGCTCGCTCGCTGCGACTCCTGGCCATTCTTCGTTTCCACCGGCGCGACGGTTTCCTCTCCGGATTTCCCGACGCTCGACTTTCTCGTCGACGATTTACGAGCGACGAGTTTCGCGTTTTCCTCGACTTCCCTCGAGTCGAGCTTCGAATTCGAATTCTTGGCCGATTTTCCCTCGGACGGTCTTCCGATCGTTTGCGAGTCGATAACGGGCACGTTTTCTTTCGGTTTGACGTTGTTCGCGGTGAGGCTGGATCCACCCGGCTCGGGACTGTTCTCGAGGTTGCCGCGTGGCTTTCTCTTCGCTTCCGGTCGCGGTTTCACCGGTTTCCAGTCGGAGCCGTCGGGCGACTTCTTCGCAACCTTCTTCACCGTTCGCGCGAGATTCTTCTTCTTGGCGGGATCGGCGTCGCCGTTGTCTACTGTCACCTTTGCTTTCGTCGGTTTCTTGCTCTTTTTCTCGGGGCTTTCACGCTTGGCCGATTCCGCGTGCGAGTCGCTCTCCGCCACCGGGCTACTTTTCTTTGCCATAGAGAGCTTCTCGTCCGCGACGGAATCCTCTTCCGTCTGTGGCTCTTTTCCACCGTTCGCGGAAGCGTCGTTGGCCTCCGTCGTGACCGAGGCTCTCTTGGTCTCCTTCTCGCCGGAGGCTCTTCTCTCTTTCGCGTTCGACGGTTTCTCCTTCGGTGGTGATCGTTTCGGGGATGTCTCGTGCCCGATTTTGTTATTTTCCGCGAGTTTCTTGGCCGACCTGGAGTCAACGTTGACCAGCTTGGTCGGTATCCTGCTGATCGAGAGCGCGTCCTCGCCGGAGACAACCGTCGCGTCTCCTCCTTTCGCGCACTTCGGAGGGCTCCTCTTTAGCCTGTTCAGGATCGCGTTCTGCGCTCGGCCACCGTTCACCGCGGGCTGTTTCGCGTCCGCGCTCTTGAACAACCCCAACACGGACGACACTCTGCTCTTCGAGGTACTGGAAGCTGTTTTCTTCTTCGCGGAGGTCAAATCCTCCGCGCTCACGGTCTTCTTGGCAGACTCGTGCTCGCCGGGTGCGCACTCGGCGGGAGGAGGTGCCGAGTGTTCGCGCAATGGTTCGCCGACTATTCCGCCGTTTGCTTGCGCCTCTGTCGTAGTCGTCGCCACCGCCTCCTCGTTCGATCTCAGTTTTTCTAGCTTTCTCTCCAACGAATGCAAAAAACTGTGTCGCGAACTTTGCCGCTCGATTTTCGTTGCGTCCGTCTCGCCCGTCACAGAGTTCCTTTCCCCGACGAGTTTCTTCTCTGGAGGATTCTTTGAAAATTCTTCGAGGCTGTTCTTCGGCTCGATCGGTTGCCTATCTCGTTGCTCGACGTCGCCCTCCTGCGTTCCGTTCTCGCTCTTCTTCTTTATGAATCGTGACTTTCGTCGTTCGTTCTCCGCCGCCTTTTGCGCGTCTTTCTCTTTCGCGTACCGACTCTCCTCCCTGGGAGTGTCGAAAAAGTCGGGTCGCAGGAATCGCGATATCCGATGCTGCTTGGATTTCTGCGGCGGTTTCTCTTTCTCCCTGGAATCGGTGCTCTCGCGGCTTCCGGCGGCAGCCTTGAACAGTTTACTCAAAATCGACTTGTCCGAGTTGACGGGCCGCGCTCCGAGAGCGACGCCAACGTCCTGCGAGTTCGCGAACGATTTTCGACGATCGCAGCTCAAACTCGGCTCTCTGGTCAAAGAGCCGGATCTCAACCGAAGACTGGGTATGCAGCTACGTCGTTTCGCGACGCTCGCGGAACCAGCCGCCGCCGTTTCGCCTATCGCTATCAACGACTGCTTCTCGCACTTGTCGGTGTCTCTGTAACTGGAGGTCAAATTCGGATCGAACTTGCTCGGACCCAAGTTCTTCAGCTTCGACTCTTTGATTAGATTTTCGGCGGCTAGCAGCCTGTTCTCAAAGTTTCGCGAGAGGTCCGACTTGGCGTAGGCCGACCTGTAGTCGACGACGTTGGAAGAGGAATCGGTTGGAGAGGTTTCGTACGATTTCGCCGACACGCTGGACGTCCCGTCCAGCAAATTCGTGTTCGAAACGGAGGTACACTCCGAGGTGGAGCCGTTGTCTGTCACGGGGTTTTCGGCGTTGTCCGCGTCCGTCTTCCAGCGAGCGAACGCGTCTTCGGGCACGGTCTCCTCTTGAATCTTCTCCGTTCTGTACGGCCGAAACTTTTCTCTTCGAAGTTTATCTACGATAGATTTGACGGACGCGTCCTCGTATCTTCTGTCGCGGTTCGTCGCGCGTCTAGGGAACGTCATCGACGACGACGACTCTTCGAATTCGTTGCTCGCGTCGTCACCGTCGTCGTCGTCGTCGTCGTCGTAGTAGTCCTCGAACGTACCGACGCTTCGTCTCGAAAATCCGCGACATTCGTTTCCGTTGGTTCGCTCCAACAGACTATTGCTCCTTCGAATGGGTTTCTCGGTAGATCGCTCCTTGTACTCCGTTTGATCGGACACGCTGGACTCGGATCGATCCGCGATCTCGGACGCGTCCAGGAAACTCGGTTTCTCTTTGCCGATGGAGCGACGGTAACGCTTCTCGTACGGCAACGGTTGTCCGGTTTGCTCGGCGAACGTTCTGCTCAGTCGTCTAGCCAAGCTAGGCGTAAAGTTTTGCTCCAGCGACTCCTGTGTCTCTCTTCCGACTCGTGTCGGCTCCGCTTCTACGTCTTTGTGTTCTATTTCATCTGAAAAAAAAGCGAGATAACGTCTACGCAAATTGTAAACAGGAACGCTTCGAGTTTCGAGCGAGCTGGAACGGGGTGATCCGGATCGGGCTTGGATGGAGCGAGGCGAGGACGCGACGGGTTCTTGTTACGGGATGCAAGCAGACAAAATACTCTCGTTTTGCTCGGTATTTACACTCCTTTATTGCTACGTACATCGAATGTGTGTTGTTTCTTTTATATAAAATTTCTCGAAAAATGAATAAATAAATTTCATCAGCGAAAGAAAGCGTTTGCCCGAAATTGCTTCTCGAGTAATCGCGTACCTCGACGCAGTCCTTCGCGTACAACCGTGTCCCGCGCGATCAACCATTTTTTCTTTCTTTTTTTTTTTTTTTTCATTTATTTGCGCCATGAACCATTCGGCTCTGTACACATTCGTTTTCGATCGCGAACACGTGGAAGACAATCCGACGTTTGACGGTTCGCGCTTCGCGTATCATCGATTCTCTAACTCGACGACCGAGCTGCTATAAACGGAGATATATGAAAGGAAGAAAGGAATTTACCGCAAATCGTGTCATCGACGACTGGCACTGGTCGAGGCTTCCGAGAGTAATCTCGGAAATAATCGATGCGGCTAAATGGACCAAGCGTGGCAGCTCGATGTATGGCATTTCTGGGTCCGTAACGATCCTTGTACTTATACCGACGGCCCTTTTTCAAAATGTATATCGACGACAGTCAACGGCGCACAAGTACCCGCATACATACATGCATACGTACATACATACATACATACATACATACAAACATACATACATATTTACAAATACACGTGTTTTCGCGTATTAGTCCAACAAGTTATCGAGCGTACATTTGTAGACTCGTCCAAAGAGTACATGCAGCAAAAAAGATTTTTATATGTATGCGTACGAAAAGTTGTTACTGATGTTTAACGGATTTCAAGAAACATGAACGGTATTTGTAGCGCGCGAGGGCTCGCTTTCCGATCCTGTCGGCGCGGCGATCTGAAGCAACGGTTACGCGCCGATGTCGAAGGATTCGCAAAATTAGCCCTTGTACTTGGACAACATCGAAACGAACAAATCGTTTAGCGTGTCTAGGTCGCGACGCACCGAATGTATGTACTGTAAACGTAAATCGAAAGTAATGCATGTACGATATTAAATACAATATAGTAGCATTATCAAAGCATGCCGAGACAATGCGAAGTAATAAAACGTTGTTATTTAAACTCTTGAAAACACAACAAATATCAGCCATCTCAAACAAGGGGTTAGCTCCTTCGCCTTGTATCATTGTGTAATATACATATATATACATATATCCATACATATATATATACATGTATACTTATACACGGTTCCTCGAGATATCTTTTCTCAACAAGTGTAAATATCTTTTCCTGGTGCAACGAATCTAGTACTTGTCGAAAACGCGACAACGACTGCGAATATCCTTCGATGAGTTTCGTGTGTCCACAAAAACGGGAAACACCGGAGTACGAAGGAAAACTAAAACAACGACGAACCGTTCTAAATAGCTGCACAGTGTCGTGTCGTATGTAAACAAAATGCCAGTCACGCGTGGCTCTTTGTTCTAGTTCGTGGAATCGGAGGTTATCGTGGTGTACGTTTACTATTTTCAAAAGGTGTTCCTTTTCGCCGGGTATCCCCATCGTACATATCTTCTCTCTACACCACGAAAACGACCGAAATACATCTCGGGAACGTTGAGTAAAGTGTGTAGTTGGTAGTTATCGTTGTATTCGATTCCGATCCCGATCCCGATCCCGTGGAAAATCGTTGAATCGAAAAACGATCGTACAAAATTCCAACGGGGTAATCGCGGCAAAGTTGACTCGTGTTCCCGCGATGAAAAATCGCTAAACGTCGCGGGACAATGAAATTCCGTCGAGCGTAGCAAATCGAGCGATAATAAACGACGAAAATAGAGTAGCGTTTGCGGGCCTACGATGATCGTTACTCGCTGGATAGAAAGTGTAGTATAGTACCTAACTTGGTTTGTCTACTGGGGATTACCGTCTGCCCGCCTACGTAGAGTCACTCGCACGGTCGCTGCAACAACCGTCAGAAAAGACCGTAAATTACACGTACAAATATCACAAAACGATTCCACCGCGATTTTCTAGAGTATATTTTCGATAATCGTTCGCACCGATAGATTCGACGTTCGAAAAAGAACGATACCAGCGGGGCTAGACTTTCCTTCCTGGAGCGAAAGAGATCTAGCTGGTATCCGGTGCTCTTTCTTCGATCGAACAATTGTTCTTCGTTTCGAGACGACTAAACAACGACTCGTCGAGTCCGTGAATCTCGAATCGAGAACGGGGGACGAATCGTTGACGATGCGTACCGAAAATATAGTCTCTCGAATATCGATCAGCGGTGGTAAGCAATTATTTCTTTGATCGCTGATTGAAGAGTCGGCGATAGACGTGAAGTAAATGTATGAATTTTCGTTAAAGATGGATTCTGTCTTGGATAGCATATAGAACTGATTTTCTTCGTGTATTCGTGTGTACATGGATACGTATGCAATCATGCTGTAAACTTTAGTATACGCTCAATAAATTAAAGAAGAAAAAATGAATTACGGCTGCTCGTGTTAATAGGATAATATATAAATCAACAACAACATTGCAATTTGCGACTACTGCGTATTACTAGGTTCTATGTCGGGCAAAGTATGAGTTACATTTGTAAGTAATTTTAACGCTCGAAACTCGAAACCCACGCGGCGAAAAAAAAAAGAAAAAAAAAGAAAACATTGCAATCGATATTTGATCGCGTCCACGAATTCTCAACGACTCGTCGACGTCGCGTTTGATCGCGTACGGTTGGAAGTGCAACAGGACGTAAGAGTTATTTGAAAATTATGTAAGAACAGGCAGGTACTTTTTGCGAGGAAAATCGTGCAAACATGCGCTTAGAAGAAGAATGGTATCTCTCTCTTAAAAAAACGAAAGAAAACAAAAAGAAAAGAATCCTTCCAGATAAAAGTCGATGAACCGCGTGGCGTCGCATTTCCGCCAATCAAAATTCAAAATGAATCCTCTCGTCGTTGTTATCGTTTGTATCCTATTTAATTTGCGTTCGACGATTGTCAAAAATGATGACCGTATCGCGCGATGTTAACCCATCTGTGCCAAACATGAACCGTGTATGTAAATGTAATTCGTTCTAACTAGGGTTAGTATAAAAAGTTGCAAAAACATCGTCAGGCAATAAAAATCGGAAAAAATAACTTGTCAGACGGTGAGACGGAGCGGAGCGTGGCGAGGCTGAGCAGGAAGTCGGGGATTTGGGGAAAGATAAAAGACGAGAGGTGAATTGGTAAAAGTAAAGAAAAAAGATGTGCTCTGTCTATCAACGACTCGACAACAGCTAGGTACTAGGAGATATGCATACCGAATACCATCCAGCATTTTCTCGCGTAGCTTGCGATTTCAGACCAGTGACAAAATGAACAACAACGATCGTCGTGTCGCGACTTAGCAGAATCTCGCTTTCGTCGATATACGAGGAATCGTGGTTCGTTTCTTAAAAGAAATGGACGAAACGCCGAGACGACGCACGGCCTCGATTGTAAAGGTATACAATATTTTTGCCACTGGATCGAATTACGAGCATCGACCCTTTGCGCTCCGTGTGCACATTTCGTATCTCCGCGGCGCGATCAGATCTAAACTCTGTTGAAACAATCTCGAAACATTCGAACGCGAGACGAATAGAGCGCGGAACGTAGAGGGTCAATTTCCGCTGGTTATCTATGATTCGTTTTGCAGTTTGACACAATTTCTCACGGTGAATTTGTAGAACAATCATACGACACTCTCTTACCTCTCGGTAAGGTGTTGCTGCCGATATCGAACACGGTCTCTCTCGACGAATTTCCTTGCGACGCTGAGCTGTTTGGGGTCCCAGGATTCGAGTTGACGGAATCTTTCCTAGAGAATACGTCGCCATCGCGGCTGAGAGAATGCTTGAATTGAGACTCCGTCAATCGCCTGTATCAGTAACAAACAAGACTGATGTCATTCGTCTTCGTACATTCGAATATCACGTTACGGAACGCGAACGGCGCGGGGCGGCGCGATGCAACGAACCGTACGAAAGTTCATTCTTCCCGCGAGGGTAGAAAAGTTCGGCACCGATTGATCGATACTGGCAACGAAACGGAATCGAAAACAAAGTTTCTAGGCTCGCGAAGCGGGATGTCGAGTCACGCACGCGTCGCGATAGCGAGTATTTTAAACCGGTGTATTTTTATGCCCATCGTTTTACTCCGTGGTCTATCGAGTATCACGGAGGTAAACAATGTAAAGCCTCGAGATTCGTTCGTTGGTACGCAGCGCGTGGCCGAGTGCCGTGAAATTGTCGTTCCGAAGGTTTGGAATGCGCGTTGTCCAATTGCGTTTCGGATGGGAAGGACGCGTGGTATACGAGGCAATAAATTTCAACGATTACTCGTGATATTTTGCACTACCTTCTAAAATAATCAGCATACACTATATTGTTCTAATGTTGTTGTAACAATTGGACTCACGTAGTCACGGTCCTTGTTTCGACATATGTCTGGTAGCTTGCACAAACAAGCGGCGAAACGTTGTTACGTTGGATTTCAACATTTATTTCGAGAGATCTCGTAACGCGATAAATACGGGAAAAAAAGGTTGCGTGTGTAAGAAGTCGACTTGGACGAACTTACCTCGACAACGGTTTATTGAGACCCCAGAAAGGTTGCGACGGATTGGAAGCTAATCTTCCGAAAAGTCGAGAACTAGGGAACCCGGTGGTTCGATTATCGTCGACGTTCAGTCTCTGCGTCAAACTTCGTACTCTGGAGAGTAGCGTGGAAAAGAGATTCTCAGCCGTGAGCAATTCGAATCCGTCGTCGTCGTCGTCCTCGCCGGAAGACAAACTATCCGCGTGTTCTGACGGCTGCCTCGAGGGTCGGGAGCTTCTCAATCGATGCATGTGTCTCTGTAGAAGATCCTCGCTGTCCCTAAACAACGGAAATACGAATCGACGCGTTCGGAATTCAGCAAGGTTCGAGATGTTGGCATATGGCGCAGAGACCGCGTGCAACTCTGAATGTAAAAAGTTGGATTACCTGTGCAACGTAGAGAACGGGGACTCGTCCTCGCTGGCGTCCGATAGGAGAGAGCTCATTCGTCGAGGTCTGGCAAACCTAGATCTCGGAGCGCTCGCGGTGGTAGGGGTGCTGGCTTTGTTCTCCGGTTCGACGCTACCCGACCTAGGAGTAACGTATCCACCGCCTTCCACGGCGATGGGAATTATGTATTCTCTGGGACTCTTTCTGATGGGTTCCGGGCCAACCGTCGAGCCTAGAGCGCTGTCGGTGTCCGAGTCGGCGGTCGATTGCCGAGACAACGAACCCGATCGTTGTGAAACCAATCTTTGAGGCATCGGTGGTTTTGCCGGTGGCGGTGGCGGTGGCAGTGGCGTTGACGAATGCTGTCGATTCTCTACTTCCATCTGTAATTGCGAGCGCAATGTTACGTTAAGACGCGCGTGAAGCACAGATTCTCTGCTGAAACGAAAACGATCGAATGAATTTCCACTCACCTGAATCGGTATTATTCTCTCTTTCGGAGGAGCATTTCTCGGTCTCGTTTCCGGTTCCAAGCTCGCGCTTCGATTCGCCTGCGGTACCGCAGCTGCAACGGGAAACGCTATTTCCGACCTTTGCGTTCGCAATTTTTGCGGCTGAAACACGTCGTCGATCTTCGCTTCCACCTCGGATCTGAACGCCACAGGTTCCGACGATTTCGCGCCCGACAGACAAATCTCGGCTTTGCTCGTCTTTCGCGATCTTGGCAGCGTAGCGCTCTTCAAGGTAATTTCCATTTTGCTAGACATCTTGGGCTCTTCCGGCTGCGAGTCGTCGTCGTCGATGTTGTTGTTTTCGATGCTGTTGCCCGTCACAAAAGCGGAGATCTGGAAACGTAACGATCGTAAACGGACGAAAACTATTGGGAAAAAGAACAAAAATGTTGTATCGTTTCGGTCTTACCACTGGTTGCTTGGCCGCGTCGACCGACTTGCCATCGAACGAAAAGTTGGTTTCGACGGGCGTGGAGACGGAAACCGTAGCTGTTCGCAGATCATTGGTTCCAACCGGTATCTTGAACGGTAGCTTCTTAGGTTCGTGAGTGGACGGAGAAATCGGTGGCGATCCGCTCGCTCTCCTTTGCAAGGGCGGCTTTCCGATCGCTCCGCTTATTATATCGACGGCCCGTTTCTTCGCGTCTTCCATCTTCTTCTCTTCCTCGTTTCGAGTTTCACGAGTCTGCTTCGATTTTTCGTTCCTGTCCGTCGGCACGTCGATTATGACCTTTGACGCGGTGGGCTTTGCGGGGGGAGGAGCGGCGATGGAAGAAAGACTGGCTTTCCTCTCGAACACACGTTTCGCTCCTCCCACGTTCACTCCGGGAATAAAGATCTTTTTAGGTTTCTCGTTTTCAACGTTCGAAGCCATTTGATTGAACTTTTCTGCGGTTTCGAATATCTTCGAGCGGCGCCTCTTTTCGAATGGTTTCTTCGAATCTCGTTCGGTCGCCTCCAAATTGATCGCTTCCTCGTTGGCAAACGGTTCGCTCTCGCGACGATCGTCCGCGCTCGCGGCAGCTTCTCTCGTTGTTTCGAAGCTCGAAGCGACCGTAGCCGCGGCATTTGAACGATCGTCGGGCGTCGCGTCGTTCGTCAACTTGTCGGCGGTGGTAACGTTTCCGGAACACTCCGACGATCGATTCTGGAAGCCTTCGTCGAACGATTTCGCGTGCTCCTCCTGCGAACGGTTTGTGTCGCGTTCGTTGTCACCGTAGTCTTTTTTAAGGTTCTCCATGGCCGCGTCGACAATAACTTGTCGGTCTTGGCTTTGCATCGTTACAGGCGTCTTGCTTCGTTCCTTGCTCGGCGACCTTTCGTTGCATTCCTTGATCAGTTCTAAGCAAGCCGCCGTGGACTCGACTTTATCGATCTCGCTCGCAGGAACCGTTACGACCGCGACGGGATCAACTTCCATAGCTTCCTCCGTGATCGAATTTGGAATCGGCGCCGAATGATGCCTAAACGAATACATGGAATTTTTCAAAGACTAGATTAGGACACGGGTTTGTCGAATCTACGAAAAGCGTGCATGGAAAATGTTTCGTAACGCGCTTCAGCGGTGAACGAGGCACCGTCCGACTACTCTAACAAAACGTGACGAGTACGACGACAGGTGAAATAAAAAGTCGACCTGCTCGTCGCTCGTTGAAAGAAAAAAAAAAAAAAAAAAAAAAGCAAGCATAGAAAACGTTGTAGGAGTCTAGGAACCTTTTCCATCGTTTTTCGTTCATCGTCCACTCGTGTCGTTAAACACCATGTAAGCAACGGCAGCTCGAACGCGATTACCTAGACGAGGATCTATACGCTCTCGGTTCTCTCTCCTCCGTCCTATCTTTCTTCCTCGATCGTTCTTTCCGCTTGACGCCGGCGGCGGCCGTTTCGTCCATCGACGGCGTCGTCTCCAACTTTCTTTTCGCGTCTCCGGTCGCTGCAGCCCTCGGTTCCTCCTCCAGCAGTTCCCTTATCCTCCTATCGGAATTATTTTGATCCAATTCCATCAAACTGCCGACAGAATGGCATCTGGTGGGCACTATAGCTTCGGAAGACACGTTATTCGCGACATCCCCGGCTGGTTGCTGATCGCCTACCACCAGTTTTTCCGCACTGGCGGACGGAGGTACCAAGGAAAGCAAGAGATCCAGCCTTACGGGTGTTTGCGCCGCCAATTCTTCGGCGATATCGAGACAATTCTGATCGTAACCTTTGTTTACCCACCAATGAGTGCAAATTTTCTCGATGTCAGCCCGTTTTCCGGGACATACCGTCAGCATATCTTCGATCAGGGGAGAAGCGGCTGCAACGAAATCAGCGTCGTTAAGATTAACGCGTTGGATCGATTGGGATCGTATCGAATCGGATCTCGAATAGAGTCGAAGAGAAGAGAAGAGAAAAGAAGAGAAGAGAAGAGAAGAGAAGAAAAGAGAAAGAAAGCGAGGGAAGGAAAATTGTTATAAACTTACGCGATGGATTTTTTGGTTCGTAGTAATCGGATTGCGATATTTGTTTGACTAGTCTCTTAAAGTTAGACCCATCGAAGGGCATGGCACCGTAAACCAACGTGTAGAGAAGAACGCCCAAGCTCCAACAGTCGACCTCTGGCCCGTGATAAGGGGTACCCTTGACGATCTCCGGACTGGCGTACAACGGGCTGCCACAGAACGTGTTCAACAACCTCTGCTCGTCGAACACGTTCGACAGGCCAAAGTCGGCAATTTTCGCGTTCCCCGCTTTGTCCAGGAGAATGTTCTCGAGCTTCAAGTCCCTGTGGCATATTTTATGCTTGTGACAATAGAAGACCGCGGTTGCTATCTGTCGGAATATTCGGCGAGCCTCGTGCTCCGCGAGGACCTTTTGCTTGCTCAAGTAGTCGTACAGTTCGCCCCCGGCCGCGTACTCCATCACCAGGACCATTTTCTCTCTGTTTTCGAACACTGAAAAGAAAAGTCGATGAAAGCGCGAGTAGCAACGGGTGGGCAACGAGCGGTCAATCGAAGAAGCAGCAGTCGACTCTGCTTCTCCCATTCGTTTCTTTTTTCTTTCTATTTTTCAATCTCTACCTTCGTAGATGTGGATAATGTTCGGATGTTGCACGCTCGACATTATTTGAATTTCTCTTCGTATCCTAACCAGATCGGCCTCCGTTTCTATTTTACACTTTTTAATGGTCTTTATCGCCACTTCTTGACCCGTTTCCTTGTTTATGCCTAACTGAACTTTCCCGTAAGTACCTTGACCGAGCTTCTTGATGATGTCGAACCTGGACGAAACAAAGTAAACGGAGTGATGGACGAGCGGTGGCTCGAACCTACATAATTTCTCGAAATTTTACTCGGATTGGCGCGCGTACAAATAATACTGCCGCGTTGTTATTTACGTTCCGCCAAGTATTTAGCAAACGTGCCAATCTCGAGAATCGTGACCGATGATCTTGGCGCTTGTCGAGAGCATCCCGACCGATCATCGGACGGAACACTCGAAATACTTTTTCCGCCTCCCTCGTCTTTCGCGTCATTCGATCTTCGCCTCTCGACGTACCTCTGCTTCAATTTCCGTTTGTGATTGTGAAGACGCACCCCGCCCGTGCTCTCCATACCTCCCATTATATTGTGTATGCTCGCCTCGCCGACAACCATTTTTCCTTATTTTTTATCTGAAACGAAAATGTTCCGATGTAGATTACGAGTAGACATTTCCCTGCGCGCTTTCACTCTTTCACTTTTACTTTTTTTTTTTTACTTCTACATTACTTCTTCTAATTTTTCCCATTTTCGTTCGCACGTCGATGGCGCGAGTAGAGCCGTACGAAGGAAAGAAAAGAGACGAGTGCGGAGATGGCGAATCGCGAAGAGGATTAAAGCGTGGGAAGGAGATGACATGAAGCAGGAGACGCGCGGATGAGGCGATCCTGTTTTCGAACAAGGTCGATCGGCCTTCAAAGTAGAAGATGATTCGGACTCGAGCATGCCTTGATGCTCGTGATCGAGGACAACGGTGAGAACGGTACGAGATATCATTATCAGGCCCGCGGGCTAACGAACAAGTATAAGAACAGAGAGAGGATATGCGGTGAGTTTATTTTCGGTATCAAGACGCCGCGCCGCGCCGCGCCGATTGAACGTGCCTTGCGCCCCTGGCCACCTCGACGAACATGCTCGATAAAACCTAACCGAACCGAATCGAACCGAACCAAATGCGCGATGGTATGCGCGAGACGACCGCTAGTCGGAAATCGGTGTTGATGCTTGGCAATATGGATAACAGCTAGGTGGATGTTCGTTTTGGCTTTTAAATTTCCCGACTCGCTTCGAGTGCGCCAATCGTTCGCAGAGAAACGACCGCGAACAATCACTGACTCGCGCTGCCACGCGTTCACCTCAGCTTCGATATCAAACCGACAACTTTTTTCGTCATCTCTCCCTCTATCCATTTGTTTACTTAGTTACCAGCCTACGTACTAGTTCACACAGACTATTATCATTTGTAACGGCTCGATGTCAAGCTCCGAAAGAGCATGCGATAGTTGCATAACCTCTGTATTTTCAATTAAAAGGAATATATGTACGCACGTTACGTCGCTAAGAATAGGAGACTCGCGATTGCGGGCTGTCTGGTATTCGAAACGTTATCCATTCGAAATCACCCGATATTCGACGTTTCTATCTTGTAGGACCACTGCCGGCACACCGAACGTTTCCGGTTTCCGGTATTGGCAAGAAGAAATCGAAGCCGAATACCGAAACCGTATGAGACGAGAAGGTTGCCAGCCGATTTATCTTTGAGCTGGCTGTCGACGAATTTATAGGACCTGTCGTTATTTTAGCGCCACCGCCGATGCAATTTCGAAACGTTTCGCTTCCCAGCGCTCGCGACGAGCTCCCTCGGTATCATTTCTCGCGGCGAAAGTGAATCCTTCGAAATCTCGTTTGCTTTCCACTAGACCGATCGTCCACGGGAGAAACGCACGAAAGGAATTTGATCGTTGGGCGAGATGATTAATTTTCATCTCAACGTTAAACGTTAATTTTCATGTTAAAGCGTTAAACGAAGCGCGGAGCTTTTCTAAATATGGGGTCCCATGCGACTGCGCGCATCGCGAATCGCGCTTCGAGAATAACATTCGTCGCCAAGATCGGTAGGTAAAAGCCGAGTCGGACGTATCCAAAGGGAAAGCCGGCGAAAGCAACGAGGATTTCGCGATCGTTTTTATCATCGTTGCGCCGATTGGCAGGACAACCAAACCACAGAGAGAAACACGTGTGCATACGGCCTGGCCTCGGTCTCCGTCTCCGTCTCGCTTCTAGCTCTCGCTCTCGATACTCGATCGGTGCGTTTCGATATTTTTAGCGGGCGCGTAGACCCGCCGCGTGGGCAGACCGAGCTTCAGGGCTGATGTCCTAATGACTTCCATTTCCTCGCGTGCGTCTCTATCCCGTTCGATTCATCGCTTTTTCCCTTTCGACGGAAATCGAGCGAGTCGTCGTCGTCGACGATTTCTGCCGCGACCCGCTGATACCCGGTTATTTCTTTACATTTCTTCTCCCGTCTTTCCGAGAGAATTGATTCCTCGTCGAAAGACCCTGCGAACGAAACAACGGCGTGTTATCGCGAGCCCAAGTTTCTTTCGCTAAACAATTTCGATGCAAGTGGTCTCGGGAACGTGGCAGCCGGGTCACGATAATTTTTACTCGGTACTATTTTTAAACCGGGTCTAAAATACTACTGTCAACGCCAAGTCTCAAAGTACGCGGGATAAATTCGACTAGTCGATTAGAAATAAAATGCCACGATCGAAACAGTTGCATCGAATGTGTCTTATTAATCGCAAGTTCGCCGCGGTTCTTCTACCGCTCTCTCTCTCTCTCTCTTTCTTTCTGCCTCTACGAAACTGCTTTCTTTGCATCCATTTGTTGGCTTCTATTCGATAAAATGTCAGATTAAACGCTCGATAAAAGCTGGACGACGCTCCTATGCCTTCGAAGTGTCCGGTGGTACGTTGAATATTTATCGTAACGAAGAATGTCGTTCGGGATCAGGCGTGACGTCACCCGGTAGCTTGCACGGTATCTCGTGATTCACGTGTTATTATTAAAACCCTTAATATTCCTCTGCACGACTCGCGGTTGCATGCATGAATGAACGAATCTATGCGTTCGGTGCGGGTGATTGTACGCGTGGATAGCGAGAAATCGCGACAAAAGTTTGAGTCACGAACAATTAATAGACTACGCGCGATGAGTTTCGTTCGCGTTTATCCGGATATCTGTGCTATTTCGGCCGACAAACTTTTCACGGTATTACATGTATCGGTGTTGTAATATTTACGGAGGATACTTGTCAAATTTTAAACGGGATTAGGAGCGAGAGTTAAAGCCGTAGACGTGTTCGAAACGATATCTTTTAAGGTCGTACGATATCGACGCTTGCAAATAGACGCAACGTTAGACTTGGCGCTTAACGATTGCGTGCGTTTAAGGAAGCCGTCGGAAACCAAGTCGAGCAGTACTGACCGATAAACGAATATAAAACTTTACGATTTGAGATTCTCGATCGAAGCGAAGCGAGGCGAGAATTCGATGAAATTTATGCGAATGTTAACGAGAATACGAAGTAAGTGTGACCAAGTATAGCTGCTCGTAAAATGTCTCGATCGGTCGAACAATTCTCATATCAATTGGGTTAAACGAGATGTGTGTCAGTTTGCGTGCGGTACGTATCGGTGCACCGTATGTAACTAAAGCGCGTGAGACGGTATGTAGGTTCCTATCGATAAAAATAGCAGACTGATATTTCGAAGGGATCTTTCGGAACATTCGCTAATTGTCTCGAGTAGCATCGTCGAGGATACCGCAGGGAAAAGGTTCGTCGACGATAAGTGATAGATTTGGATACGACTACTGCGACGACGATGACGACGACGACGGCGACGGCGACGACGACGAGGCGTTCTTCGCGCATTATTGAGTAATCGAAAACGCCCACGAAAGAAAATTGACGACGCTTCGCGACGTTCTTTTATTTAAGGATAGACTATCCGTTCTCGGAGCTCGTTACTCGCCGATGGAACAAACGGACGAACGCTTTGAATGAGAATCGACACTCTGCTAGGATCTAAAAATAGCGAGAATTTGTACCTTACGGTGAACTCTGGAGCCAAATTATCCTCTTTTTGCGGCTGCTATCCGCTCCCGGGAAAAATATAGGGGAAAAAGCACTATGTACACTATTATTATCGTCTCTACGGTCGATCCGGACACTATGTCTCTGTAACATTCGAATTTTTCTGAGAGATCGCGAACCTTCTCCGTTTCCACTTCATTTTACTAGACATTTTTCGCGTGACGATACGGCACACGGCTCACGCGCTGCCACCATCTTTATTTACTAATTTTGGACTTGAACGCTGAGAACGGGGAACGGATAGATTAAATCGACTCTAGCGACATCTTTCGACGTCGCGTTCTACGATGTCACCACCACTGTTTTTCAACCGAGGGCGCTGCTGTTTACATTCGTTTTTATCACGTCGAGTCTTCCTGTCTTCGTCACCGCACAACTTTTGTATCTCGGGTCTCGCGACTCGCGTTGTGTTGTAGGTTGTAGTTGTACCAAGTTGTACACAACGTGCAAATTATTGGTTACGTTTCTCAAAAAGAGTACAAGAATAAGAATACGTGTTGTGATAACGATTAATAGGAAACCTGCGATTCGCGATCGACCAAATGGACCCTGCCGAGGACTGGAGTGGCAACTGCCAGCTGTCATCAGACAACGAAATACGAGAAAGCAAAAGCCAGAAAGTTAACCAAGTCATACCTGGATACCCTAATTTTGATGCTTATCTGCAGGTGAGTTTTAACTTTTCGAAATCGTGAATGTCGAAAGCTACGCTAAGAAAATCTCTATTGAATAATTATTTGTTTCAGCATGCATTCGATGCTATAAGAACTGGGATTAAAGCTGCCAATAACTTACCGATCGGATCGAACTATAGTTATTATTCGTGCTTTCCCAGTTTCCTTAACGCCAAAGATGAAAACGTCAAATTGACATTAAACGTTATGCAACACGTGTTAGGAACGGTGGGAATTAAAAATAAAATATCGCATCGTAGTATAGAAGAAAAGTTTGATCTTTTATTGGAAACGAACGACATACTCTTGGATAGAGCCGTAAGTTTATTTTTTTAATTGTTTCAAAGATTTTTCATATTCTCAAAGTTTCTTCTATATAAATATATATTATGTTGTCTGTCGTAGAATGCACTAATGGACAAGGAATGTGGTATTACTAAAAATTCTGAAGTAGAATTAGTGGTAACGCATACCAAACAACAAAGTATCAATGGTAGTTGGAACAGACAAACGTATGACGCGCCCCAGACTTCCGATAGTACACAATCGGTGCGGTTACTCGCAGGAAAAAATGTTCATAGACCTCAGCTAGCGTTTAAAGATAAAATTGACAATAGCTCTAAACCTTGGTATCCTAGGATCAAGGATAAACCAAATTCTTTAAAACCGTTAGCTATTTATTTGGAGGAGACTGAAAACGGAGAAGTGTTCAATCACCCGTACGAATACGAGTTAAACATGTTTACACCTTCCGACGACCGATTACAGAAATCCGAACCAGCAAAGTATAAATCTTTGGAAGAAACGCCATTAATAATTATTGAAAATTCATCCGATATTAAATTGCTACTCAAAGACCTAAAACGGTATAAAGAGATTGCGGTAGATTTGGAACATCATTCCTATAGAAGTTTCCAAGGAATAACTTGCTTAATGCAAATTTCAACGGGAGATAGTGATTATTTGATAGATACGTTATCGTTGCGATCGGAATTACACGAATTAAATGAAATCTTTACCAATCGTGCGATTCTAAAAGTATTTCACGGAGCCGATTTAGACATTCAATGGCTTCAAAGAGATCTATCTCTCTATGTAGTAAATATGTTTGACACTCATCAAGCCGCCAAACAGTTAAATTTGCCGTATTTAAGTTTAGCGTACTTATTGAAAAAATATTGTAACATAGATCCCAATAAACGTTATCAACTGGCCGATTGGCGTATTAGACCGTTGCCGGATGAACTTCAAAAATACGCTAGAGAAGATACGCATTATTTACTGTACATAAAGGACATTCTAAAAAATGCTTTAATAGATATCGCTGACGGACAGTCGAATATCTTAAAAGCTGTTTACAACAGGAGTACGGATATTTGTAAAAAAACTTATGTAAAACCGGTGTGGACCGAGGAAAGCTGTCTAAATATGTACAGAAAGACTCACAAAATGTTTAATAATAAACAGTTGTACGCTTTAAGAGAATTACATAAATGGAGAGATCTGACAGCCAGAGAAGAAGACGACAGTACCGCTTACGTTTTGCCAAATCATATGCTTTTGAATATAGCCGAAACGTTACCTCGCGAAATGCAAGGAATTTTGGCATGCTGCAATCCTATACCTCCCTTGGTTCGACAAAATTTATTAAAAATGCACAAAATAATATTAAAGGCTAGGGAACAACCCCTTATTAAACCTGTTCTCGAAGATCTCAGACAAAGATTAACTCACAGAAATCATATTACGAATTCGGAAACATGGATGTACTGTCCTCATGACATTCCGAGCGGCATGGAAGCAAGAGCCGATTTACCGTGTTTGTTAAACGAAGATAATGTATTGGAAACATCGATTTTGGATACTCTCGCGAAACATACGGTAACGGTGTTCGACAGTCCAGTTCCATCCGAGGTAAAGAAAAATAAATTTGATACATTGTACAAACGATTCTAGGACAATATTAATCCTTTGAGGGTCAAGGACCGATATATCGCTGCTCGAAGCTATAACTCTGCTTAAAAACATAATTTGCATCTTTTTCTAGGATGAGGAAACAACAAATGATGAACAGAAGAATGTTAAAAAGAAAAAGTTTATCTTTGTTAGTCCGTTTGAACGATACAAACGTGTTATACCTATGATAGCAGAAGAAGAAGCGCAAGAAAGGGAGCGGCTGAAGCAAGAAGAAGATCGTAAGAATAAAACCAAGACAGAAGCGGAAGAAATAGCTGAGAGTAAAAATAGAGTTTACAAACATTTTAAACAAGTTGCTCGAGTTGAGGCAGACGGAATCGTAACAACGCCCTCAAAAAAACCGTCGCAAATTTCTTTGGGCCAAATGCAGGGACGAAAAAGAAAACGAGACTCCGATATTAATAAACAAAATGAAACACGAGAAAAAATTAATGACGATTTATTAACGCCAGCTCCATCGTTGACGACTAAAATTGTCCAAAGCACAAAGAGGGAACCAGACGACGCTGAGAGTTTAGTAGATGAAGAAAGGAAAAAAGATAATCTAGCAAGAATTCAAGAGCAAGTTCCGGAAGATGATACTATTAATGCAATACGGTACTGTCACAAATATTACTTAACCATTTTTATCGATTATTAAATATACATTTCTTAAACATTTGATTCGTAGGATTCAAAGAAAGAAAGGAGAAAAACAATGTGTAATTAACGAATTACAAAGAAAAGGTCTAATGCCAACGAAAGATTTCAATTATGAAGCGGTAGATTTTAGTAGTTTCCAAGGAGGTAGCAAAAATGTATCTAACCAAGTAAACTTCAAACAAACAATGGTAAAAATGTGTGTTCGTTCGTTTTTCTATTAACTAATAATAAAAAAAACACTAACATATCGTTTCGTTTATTTGTAGAAAAAGCAAAAAGAGAAGAAACGGAAACGGAAGAAGCAAAAATTAAATATATAAATTGTAATATAATTGAACTGCAGCTTGATAGTATTTATGTAAAAGCATATTATACTTTCATACTACATAAATAGATCTAATACAATTTTGTATGTATGATAAAAATTCATAAATTATACGCAAACCTATATTTCCTGTTATACTATATACAAATAGCATGTAACTGTAACCAAAATTGTTATTATAATTATATATTTTGAATAAAAACAAAGTAGGTACGTGCGTACCAATTACAAGTAAACTTACATTTTTTTGTTTCTCTTAAACATAAATAATGTAAAAGTGATCTTTAAAACATCTTAATATGTAATTGTTTCACTTGAAGCTAGTAATGATGTAATCTCTGTTATCAATCGTTAGGTCATGGTTTCAACTATTTGATGTAAACATCATTTTGATGTAAACATCTATAGGAAGATCAAATGTACAGTTGCTTGCAAATGTAACTAAAAATTTAACATGAAAAATGGTGTCTTTCATTTTTATGTTTGTTCTAATTAAACTGACCTTACTTTCTACCGCATGTAATAATGTTTTAGAAAAAAGTGCAAGTGCAAATACAAGTTTGGATTCTGTTGGTGAAATTTCATCGATTAATTATAGAACCAATTTAACAGATTTTACTTTTACACTTTCCAATTCATCTGGCTTTATAGACACTCGTAAAGAGTCTAAATCGAACCAAGTTGATTGCTTCGGTTTGGGAAAAACATTGGCTGCTACTTTGGAGTGGTTTTTTATGAGTAAACCTAATGGGACAAATGCTTTGGATGTCCAATTCTTTCTGTCTTCGAGAAAACAATCTCAACGTGTTCAAGTAATGGTCGGCAAACAATTTGGGTTAGAATGGACAGATTTTCAAATTGGACGAGAAACAATAATAATAGTTCATGGGTTCTTATCGCATGGACAACAATCATGGATTAGCAACTTGGAACAATCATTTCTCCAATGGGTATATTGATACATTATTTCGAAAGTGCCGTCGATTACATCGAAATTAACAATTTCATGTGTTTTTATATCGTTATTATTAGTGCATCCTTTTTCTGCTCAAAGAAAAATTAAACAGCTTCTTTGTTTTCTAGAACGATGTTAATGTCGTAGTGGTAGATTGGAGTACCGGTGGTAATACTTGGAATTACTACAAAGCAGCAGTTAATACAAGGGTGGTGGGATATCAAATTGCAAGGTCTACTTTGTACAGTTTTATAAATATCACATTGGCTATACATGCGTCTCGAAATGCTTATTATTTTATAAAGATTTTTAGGCCACATAGAGAATGCAACGAGCATTCGTAATACATCTGCCGCCGATATTTGGGGACCTTTACATTTGGTGGGTCACAGTCTTGGAGCGCATATTTGTGGTTTTACCGCGAAAGAATTAAAGAGAAGACAGAGTAAATGGAAAGTTGCAAGAATAACAGGACTCGATCCTGCGCAACCTTGTTTCAAAAATGCAGACTCCACCGTAAAACTTCACAAGTCCGATGCACCATTTGTCGATATCATACACACCAATGGCAAATTGCTTACCGAAATTGGGTTAGGCTTACCAGAGCCTATAGGTTGGTGACAGTTCCTTAGATAGTTCCTTATGCCGTCTCTTGCGTTACATACACATTCCTTTTGTTGTCAGGTCACGTTGACTTTTATCCAAACGGTGGCAAAAGTCAACCTGGTTGCGTAAAAATAGATTCTTCGTATTTCGAATATTTACCAATTCCTCTTCGAGGTGAGTATTCTCAATATACATTAATGTTTTTTTTTTTTTTAATATTTGTTTTATCATTGAAGTTTCGTATTTTGCTGAAATACCTGTACGCTTTCAGTAATTAATAAGTCTATATGCAGTCACGGGCGTTCGTACATTTATTTGACGGAATCTTTAATATCCGACATTAAACATAATTGCACTTTCTGGGCGCATCATTGGGATTTATCGTATCGAAGCTTAGCGGAAATTGCGGAAGAGCCTTGCAATAAAAATATTTGTACCGAAATGGGCATAAATGCAGTGAATTATCCTCAACGGGGAACGTTCTTTGTTGCTACTTCGAACGGTGTACCATTTTGTAGTAAGTTACGATACGCCAAAGAAGTACGTCTTTATAATTTATCTTAACGACGGATGTTTCTTATATTTTTTAGTTAACAATACTCGCATCATCGACGAAGTAATAATTCAGTTGGAAAAGGATCATGAAAACGAACTCGACGATTAAGATTCACCAATGAATTAATAATATATATATATATATATATATATACATATATTATTGATTTATAAATAAGTTCTCTGTACTTAAAATTACCATTACATGCGATTCTTAAATTACTAACGTCTTCTAAATGTTATTTACAATTGGATTTCCACTAATCAAACGAGTTATGTACATTTCACGTCGTTTAATTTAATTCGCAATCGCTACGTAAAGAAATAATCTACAGAAAGTTGCGAAAGTGAACGAGTGTTTCTGTACGCTTTCATGTCGGTCGTACACTACTCTTACGTTATATCGTAGTGACTTTATGAAATGTTTTCTGTGACGGCATCGTAAAATCATTTCACCCTTTTAAGTTTTCCTTTAATACGTTATTTAAATCTAAATAAACGCTAGGCTAAGCTACCATATATTTAAATTTCAACTTTTCCCGGTATTTTCGCTCAAATGAATAGCCATCTAGCGTTCAAGAGACCGAACTAATTTTCGGAGTTTGGTCAGCGCTTCTATCGGGAAAACGATGCCGTCGCAGACTGCACGTCACCAGTTAATAAAGATTAACAATAGGCGCAGCGTTACATCGTATCGCGGTACTGTAGTTTACATCGATACTATACGTTAATTATAAATTATAAAATGTTGATCATAAAATCAGAAGGTAGTATTTCGTTGCACGAATATGTTCCAGATTACGATTCATCGTTATTTCGAATACGTTGATTTTATTTCTTGTGTTGCGCGGTTTACAAAGTCCTAACTGCTAGTATTGGCACTTTAATAACGTAAATAAATATCTGTTTACTAAATAGTTGTCTTTTAGAAACGATACCGATCGTATGACACGCGATAACATCGGATTGTTTTAGCCGTGAATTAAATTTAAATATAAAAAAAGTAACACGCGTACATATATAGTATGTATAATTCTAAACAGTCAAAGTTAACACGTTTACGAAAAAAATGTGTTAGACTTTCGATCCCAGTGTGCTTTGGTAGCTTCTCGATCGATTCGATCGTTACGTTTAAATTGCAATTCGTATAATGCTTTGTTTGCAGGAAGAAAAAGAAGAAGAACCGATGCTGATATTTCGGAAACTTAAAGGAAGAAATGTTGCGATCGAATCAATGAATAACTTGTACGTATGTGGCTGGAAATATTCCAGTTCGACCTCTACACTCACCTATCCACCAACCGTCCGGTTGCTTCTGATGCACCGTTATCAAGTCTCCAGGGCTTAGACTAAGCTCGTCGTTTAGATTCGCCGAGTACTGATAGATCGCCCTACACTGTTCCGTTCCGTCGGTTTTGCTCGTTGTCTCGACAACGTCGACGTCTTGACTATTGTTATTATCTTCGGAATGGCTACTGAACTCGTCGAAATCGCTAAAGTCATCTTCGTCGGGTGGATTCTCCGAATTTCCATCGCCGGCCGTTCGATCGGCCCAATGACGACTCTCGGTTTCGTGATCCTTTGCGAGATGAACCTCTATCTCGTCTTCGTCGTCCTGAAACTCAAACGATTCGTTCTTTGCCCAAGAAGGAACCTGGAAGAAAAACCGTCGATTTAATCTCGCGTTCTACGAATTGCTGTCGTCTAAAAACTCTATAAGACAGCGTACACGTACCTTAAGAACACTTTGCTGCAAGCCCTGCTTGTCTCTCGACACTAGAATATGTTCCGACAAGGGATGCTTGCCTCGTTTGCTGCCTTCCACTTCCGCTAATGTCCCTCCAACTTTATACCTCGCTGCCTGTAGGTATAGTAACATGGAGCGCATCTAAATAAAGGAAAAGAAATAAAAAGAAAAGAAAGGAAAAGAAAAAGATATAGCGAAACGAAATGGTTTCGTATAATTGAACGGAAATGGTATGGAATAAAAAATGACCGACGTACGTGGTGCAATTTTTCGGTAACATTTTGCGTACTCTCGTCCGCTGCGAACGCCGGCGTAGCGATGAAAGCTCTATGAAGCGTTTCCAAACCCTCCCGTCCGCGTCTTTCTCGTTCCAAGTCTTGTCTGATCAAGTGAAGAACTCTCACCAACGCTTGTTTTCGACGTTCCCTGTTCATCGCGAGAGTAACGTGCTCGGCGTAAAAGTCTGGCAATAGCTGCTCCGAGTTACAACCGTCGTTACTTTCTACTCTGCGTATGAGATTCTTTAAAATTTCAACGTCTTGCGATACGTTGCAGCTGCGTACCGGGCCTGCCAATCGATCCGCATTCTGCAAGTAACAGAACGGTTGGTAAAGAATTCGGTTGATACGAGGTGATTCGGTGGAATAGGGAACGATCGATCGATCGCTTAAAGACAAAGGAGTTGTCCGCGTTACCTGTTGCAGACGGGGAGCGAGAGCTTGCAGGTGCGCCAGGTAAACGTTGGCGAGATCCTTGAGGGCGCTTAATCGTTCTTCCTCGAGGAGTTCCATTTGTTTGACTCCCTTCTTCACCGTGCTTTCATATTCGAGCCTGGCTCTCTCGGCTCTCACGCTCACCGTGTAAAACTCCGTGTCCGCCCTACGAGACGAGTCTTCGGCCTTTCTCCTTCTCGCCTCGAGCTTGGTAGCTTCCTTCTCCGTCATATGATGGTTCGACGATTTGTTATTACTCTGCTGGCTCTGGCTGATCGATTGTAGCCTCGCTAGATCTTGCAGTCTCTCATTTTCTCGAGCGCAAGCGAAACTTTGCTTTTTACTTTTCGTCGCGACGTTGCGCCACTCGTGAAGAGACTTTCCAGCTTTGTCCACGGAATTCTCCACGGATTTCCGCGAGCGTCCTTGAGCCTCCGCTACTCCTACCTACGAACAACGTGTTGTGGTTAATGAGTTCGACGATTTGAGCTTTAGTCTCAATAATCAAATATTCGCATTCGCGCACTTGAAACTCTCTTATTCTTATTCTCTCTCGGAATTTGTATAGAAACTTAATAAAAATGGTAACGTACTCGGAGTGGTTTGGCGATCTGCTCGTCGAGGGTGATGCCCCATAGTCTGTGGGCTTCCGCGGCAGCCTCCATTTCTTCGCCGACGCATCTCCATGCCTCGTTTACACCTCCGCCGCTATTGCCACCTGCGTTACGAAAGATCAGCCGCGATCAAAAATTACATTCCTTACACCTCCGGATTTCACCGTATACCGCGACACCCGACGATGTCGTTTCAACGAGTTTCTACTATTCATTTCACGACCCGCGCCTCTCGACCTACCTTGGTCCTTTGTACACGCCTTCGTCAATTTGTTGCTCAGTTTCGTGAGTCCTTTGGCATACGTTGCTTCCAGCTCCGCTCTGAAATAACCACGTACCAAAGGTCTTATCGTTAGCCTTTCCGTCTTTGCAGAAATACGTATTTCGCCTCGAAGATTACCTACCTTTCGTGGAGAATCGACGCTAACTCCTTGCAGAAATCACCGCCCTGTTTCACGAACCTTCGGACATCTTCGAATCCGCCTTGTCCACCCTGCGACCAGAAATGCGTTCAACGTTAATTCTTCTCTTTCCGCGCAAAGAACAGCACTTGGAAGTAGTTCGTTCTACGCTCGAATAATTCGAGTACTCGAAGGGAACGCAGAAAATAGCGGTAACCACGCACCGTAGCTCGACAGATGCAACATTTCTATTTCTAACGTCCTACGGTTCAATTACGATCATTTCCATCGCCGATACATCCACGCAGATTTCAGTTTCCGGAGCGCGTACTCGTGCTCGAAGAGAAAAGAAATTTACGGTGGATAGCTTCCGTCTCACCTGCTCATCAATATCGGCATAGTTTTTCGAGCGTCGCGGTCACGGCCGTATTCGATTCGTAGCATTCTCGAAAATTCATTCGATCCAACGAACGCGGTGCGACTTGGACGCATCCGGCGACGTTAATCTTCGATTTCAACTTATCGCGGAGAATTAAGAATGATCTGCCTGGCGCGTTCAACGTCTAGGGCTCGTCGAGTACATTTCTCGTGATAACGTGGATCTTCTTACGCGTATAAACGATTTCTTGACGGCGCGCTTTCACGTGCACGATTCATTTCTCGCTATAGTCTTGAAAGTTGGACAGCCGAGCTACCGGTTCGCGAAAACTCGTAAACTTATGAATCGATAAATAACGATAGCGACGTTGATGAACGACAGCTGCAAAAATTTTGATTAAAAGACTGAAGGACTACTAGGTCAGATTTGTCTATGCATCCAAACTTTCGTTTCGGGTACGTTGTCGGATAAGGTGTACGTATCGCGATTCAATTATGCGGGTATGAGTTGCGTACGCTTACGAGACTTTTCGTTGCGCGAACACTTTCGATTTCTATCAAGCTTCCAAACAATACAAAAAAAATGAGTATCCATAGAATATCTTTGCGAAACGGTAGGTGTCGATCGAAACATTAATTGCGAATACGTAAGTCGAAAATTGAAACCGGTACCAAGACTTGGTAAATAAACCGGTCACCGACAGATGTAAAATTGTACATTTTTGCAGGTTTTGCTAGATGCATGTACGTCATCTGGAATTTCCTGCACGTTACGAGCAGTCCTGCGCTCTTGCGTTCGAAATATTTTTCTCCGATAACAACCGGATCGAAGAAAATCTATCGAAAATGTCATTTGGAGCGTTACTGGCCGGTGCCGGTGCCGGCACGGGTGTTACGCTCGAATCAACCTTCCGCGTGGCTTTCGTAAACTTGTAGCTCGACGAGTTTCCATTCGTCGCGTCGCGTCGGTTAAATCATTTTTTCAACGTTCTGGTTTGCATCGAGCACTCGAGTTTAATTTCGTTCCGCCTCTTTCTACGCGTTAAACGTTCGTTTAGAGCGACAACGCAGTCGTCGATTTTTCTCGCGAACGTAACGCGATAGCTGCTATTTTCTCTCGTAAATAGGACGAGGAGAAATGTCGCCGAACTAACAATAAACGTACGATTGGCTTGCCAGAATTACTAACCCTTGGACATCGCGAGCTTGGCTGCGTATGATACTCGTACGTAGACTTGTTACAAATGTTACGTATTTATCGATTTATGGAATGAAAATTGGAGACGCACGTAAAATCGTAAAGTAAAGTTAGTTGTCGCGAAAACGATGAAATAAATCATTTTCTACTTTCGCAACGCGTAGGATGTAATTCCAAAGAAGCTGGCCAGGTTACTTTTCTACCTCGTTTTAATATTAGCGTGTCCGCGATCGCGAGAGAAGGATTAATCAAGTATCGCTCGGAGAAAGATCAACTTTCTTACGATCCGTCTCTTTCGACGACGAGCAGAGTTCTCTCTCCCGATGAAAAATTCAACGGTCGCGCAGAGATTTCCAAGGCGACGAATTAGTTGGCCTTTGACAAAGCTGGATACGTACGTACGTAAGAATAAAGTGTATCGACGCAGTCGGTGTCGAAACCGTGTAAAGTAAAAGGTTAATCGATACACGTTAGCTTGGATATTATAATATACGTGATACGTAACCACTAACCACGGTCTCGGAAGAAATGGACTCGCGTGCGCAACAAGTGGCGTACAGATCGTACAGTAAGAGCTTCCTACACTTCTACCCGCGCCGACAACTTTTCAAACGGACCCGTAAACATCGCGTACATCGTCTTGTCGAGCACCCAACAAACCTCTGGTAAGTTGGCTTAGGGCAGGTGTAATCGAACCCGGACAAACTAGGGAAAACGATTACTAAATCAGGAACCACCGACACGCGTACGATCGTTTTACACTTTCACCTCGATATCTCGAAGACTAAATTCTGGAAATTCTCCAAATATGGATTAAAGTTTCGGAAACGTACCTCGAAGCTCGAGAAGCTAGCGTGCAACTCGAGACGAGGCGCGAGACTCGGAAAACACTCGGAGGGATTTCTCGAGAGTTGGCGTAGTTCGATAAACGTGTAACGTAATTCGTTGGCAAGTTACAGACTCTTAGAAATGTTCGTTAGGCGGCGTGTTCGTAAAAGCGTAACGATGGAAAAGCGAGACATCGTCGAACGAATATGACCGACGAAATCTCGAACGTTCGAAGATCGGTATCGATGTGCACGATTCTTCCTTTCCCTTTTACGATTCCCGACTTCCTCGACTTCCTCGAGTTGGGTTCACGCGACACGGTGAAATCGCAGAGGTCGCGGTTACCGTCGCCCTCGTCTTCGCCGTAGCTGTGTATTAAACGCGGGGCTCTCAGGATTGCCCCCGCGGGAAGACGTCGTTACCACGGCTTTCCTTTTCTACGCTCAATTTTCCACGCGTTCCTAACAATTTCTACGATTACCTCGTATTTTTCGCGCGCACGCGCGTTCCGAGGCCGCCTCGGAGCCAGGAGAAAACAAATGTCAATGACACAGCCTGAATTCGATGCTTCTCCGCGGATTTAGCGATGGGAACGAAGACCTCGCGAACAACGATAGCTACGATGCCGACCAAGAGGTGCTTAGTATATCGGCTAGAAGAAGTATATTGGCTTACGCCCCGAAGTCTCGGATGGTATAGATATCTCATTCGTACTTGAAACGGAGATGAACGCGCGAAAATGAAGAAGTACACGCAAACGAGGGTACGCGAAACAAAGTCGGTTATTTTCTCCGTCCAACTTTCCCACACTTTCCATGCTTTGATAGTTTGCTCCGAACCGTAATACAGTCGTCTAGATATCGTTATTTCGTACGAACACGTACGAAAAGAGTGTCAAGGGCTGCGTCAAAGAATAGTTGGGCGTGTGCGATTAGGCGTTACGGGTGGAACGAAAGGAAACGTTTCACGAAGCAAAATAGAACAATGTACCTCTTCGGTCTCGTGAACGTGCAGCAGATGAGTGGAGGCCATTAACCCTCTGATTGACCCCAGCATTCTTTTCTTAATTGGGCCAGCTTTTCGAACATGATCCCTGGCTGCATCTCCGTCTCCGTCTCCGTCTCCGTCACCGTCCATCTCCTCGTTTTCCGTATCGAAGCACAGCTTGTCCATGCTGAATGAGACCGGAGCGAAATGTTTTTTAGCGTCGACGTTAAAAACGTTATCGGAACTGCCAACTTTCCTTCTCAATTTTCTCGAATCGTTATTTGGGTCGGCGTCGTCAGCGATATTTTTCATCGAAACGGCAGCACTTTCGGGAGAAGAGGTAACGTTTTCCTCCGAGACAGCGGCCAACCCGAACTCTTCGACCCTTGTGATCGATCCAAGCTCCTGCGTCCTCGCTTTGGTCAGATCGTAGGACGCTGTGCTTTTGCTCTTGGAAACTCTCGGGACTCGAGCATCTTCAGCGAGGGCACCAACGGCTTGCAATCTCGCGTGTTTGATCACGATCTCGTTGATCTTGGAGGTTTCGTCGCGTATCCAACTCGTCATTTTATCCCATGCTTTTCCCAGTCGATGTTTCTGCAACTACAACGACACACCCGTAGACGCGCGATCGATCTCTCGATGGACCGTTCCAGCTCCGACGAGAACAGAACGTCCAACGATCGGCAATCGAACGTGGCGATAAATCGTTCCCTTTACTCTTTTTTACTCGGACAAATCCGATATGTGACAATTACTCGGGCAAATCGACGCGTTCGATCGTTGTCGCCAAGTCCGATCCGACCGTGGTCGTTCTACGTATAGCGCGTACATGTACCTTGGAATGTCTGTTTCGACGAGACACGTTCGAGGGAGGTTCGTTCGAGCACTCGGGATCCGAATACGATCCAGACATCGAAGCGATTCCCGCGTCGCCGTCGTATTCGGCCTCCGACATTCCGTAACATTTCCGCTCGGATCTCAACGACCTTGCCGATCGTATCGCACGCCGATCCAGTCTTTTCGCTGGTGAATCGGTTTTGGCGATCGTTCGATCGTTCGCCTTTTCCCGCGCGATCAATTTCTCCCGTTCGAGCGCGTCGCGTGGCTCTTTCGAGTCTCCGTGCATTTTCCTCGGGACGTCGATAGATCCCGCATCGACTTCTTCCTGGCTCGCGCGTTGAATTTCGTTACCGTCGGCATCCGTTTCGTCCCGACTTTCGATCACTTTCTCGGTCTCGTTTTCGTCCCGAATGTACGAGCTCTTAGGAAAGTCGTACAGCTGATTTCGCGACGACGTAGACGTGTCGCGACCTTCGCTCGACGTTCCATCGATCTCGGACGTACGAGGCAATTTCTCGTCGGCGTGCACGAAACTGAAGCTGATGCTCGGTACGCCGTCTTGATCGGTTTTCACCGACGTGATCGCGGTCAGTTCCACGGTGTTTCTGTGCCGTTTTTCTTGCCTGCTGCGTTCGGTGTCCAACGGCAGGCTTTCGTTCGCGTAAAGATCGAACTTTGTCTCTTTATCGCGCTCTGTTTCGGGACTGTCCGCGAGCATCATCCGCCGGTCTTGGTCGACGGCACCGAAAGCGTTCGCATCGTTGGTCGCGGCGGTTACCTCGGGCTTGTTTGCCTCGTTTGCATCGGGAAACTCGTGGCAATGTATTATCACGGGAACGGGAACGTCGTACCAGATCGTGGTGGAATTGTCGGTGTCGCCGTTACCTCTCGACGACGATAATTTTCCGACCGACTTGAAGGAAGACCACGCGTGTCTCGCTTCTTCCATTTTTCTCTCGTAAGCTATGACCGATCGAGTCCTCGTCTACTTGGACGAGACATCGAAAGTATCGTTTTCATGTAAACTCGCGATACTCGGCATGGTTCGTCGAACGCCGAGAAACGTTTACCGTCGCGATACGTGACGTAACGCGTAAACGCTAAACGGTTATTTTATTATCGTTATCACGACATGATTATCGCTGTTGCGCTAAAACAACCATCGGAACTCGCCTCTTTGTAACTATCGGTTCCAATTTGCAATTTGCAGCAAACGATAAGAATCATTTCGAATTCCAAGGTCCGGCGTAAACGTGGACGAGTACGCGTTTAGCGTGAAAATTCGCTTCGATCGGGGAACCGTTCAACCGACATGACACCCGCTATCCGTACGGCTAGCGGATAAGGATGGAACGAGCGCAAGCGTTTCGAGAACGGTCGCACACCTCGGTCACTCGGAGCACTGTTACGTAAACGATCCACCGGTGGCTATCGTTGAACTTTTCTGTCCTAATTTCGCGATTTATCGTTTTTTCACCTTCGGTCGTCGTTTATCTCGTCGCCCCTCTGCTCCACTCGGCTCCCCTCGGCTCTCTACTTTACTCCAAACCGCGTTACCGATAGTTGACTAGATCACGGAACGATTCCACGTTCGAGAAGGTTACATCTAGCGAACCACGATTTTACTTGTTATCGTTTCTCTGCTTTATACGGTGCATTACGCGCAAATCTTTCAAACCAGTGCGATAAACCGATCGAATCGAACGCGACGACCACGCCTATACCTATACCTATACCTATACCCATTTTACGTTCGTATATCGAGAAAGAATCGATCGCGTACGTCGTGGTATCGTCACTGAAAACTGACACTTTGTTTTTCCGTTCTAGCTGGGAAGAAGGAGCGAACAGGTGGTCGCCATTCGAGAATCGAGGCACCGCGTACGAGTTCAGAGTTCCGCTACTCGATCGCGTTAATTGCTTCGATTCAACGCGAACAGTCGTTTTCGCGACGAGTTGATAACGACTGTACCAAATACACACCGCTATCCGACGCCGATGTTTGCTGTCGTCGCTCCGCGAATTAGGCGTGTAAACTCGCGTGACGCGCGGAACGGTGACGCCCGAGCACGTCAAGAGTCGTCGCGAATTACAAACGGAATCAATCCGTCCACCGACTACTCGAAAACATCGAAACACGCTGCACCGTTCGGTGAACACGTAGTTGACAGCAGCTGGAAACCACGGCCGAGGTTTTTAATCGTAACAAGGAATCCGAGAACGGGGAAAGAACGACAGTCCGTGATCCGTTGTGTTTGTGCGACAACGTTCCAGCCGTGACTGGATTCACGCTGGAAACCACATTATACAACGGCGCCGAACAATTATATCCGTATTATATCGCGTAGACACATATTGCACAATCGGGCACGGGGCAAACGCAAACGGTGCACCGTGCCGTACCGCGACAAAAATAAGACGCGTCTGCTTCGCGTGAAAATGTAATCGCTCCGATAATAGCTCGTAAAACCTCCTCGCGATGGCAGCATTTAACTCGTCACTTTTTTTTTTTTCACATTCGAAACGTTTCATTTCAAACTCTTCGATCGCACGCTTGGAAAAGTACAAGTCTCGCGATTGGTAAAAAAAAAAAAAAATGTGACCGAACGAGTCACGTGAGACGGTTCGCGTAAACAAGCCAACGATCGGGTTCGTAGTTTTTACCTGACGAGTACACGCCGTCGTCGGCAGATTTACGTTCCTTGGAATCACGGTTCGCGAACAAGTACGCAAGAGATGTTACGCGAGTATGACAAGCACGCGCGTAAAAAAGTTGTCTCCGAGCCGACCGAATCGTCGACGATTGATTCAATCGTCGACGAGGTAAATTCGTCGAGTAACCTTCGCGACGCGTCCCAACGAACGCACTGGGAACACTATCGATGACGCAACACCACGGTAGACGACGAAGGCTTTTCCAAATAATCAAAGAAACGAGTAAAACGACGCGTTCGTTGAGAGAGGATGTTGCTCGTAACGCGATTGCTCGTTACGATACGCGATGAACGCGATGAACGCGAACGGGAAGACGAAGATTTCTCTTTCTTTCGAAAGGGAGAGATGCAGACGGAACGTGAAGCGCGGTGCATCGCGATTCGCGAACGCGCTGCGAGCTACGAGCTTACGAGTCGCGCTACTCGCGCCCGCTCCGGTGCGTAATGCACGTTAAACCGTAACGCTCCGAAATGAATGCGACGACAAGTAGATAGACGGTTTAACCGTTCGCGGGTAACGCGTTTCTAGGCGGGAGGTTATTCGTTTTCTTTCTGGATTATATTTAGCTTCCTTCCGCGCGACACTTGCGTTACCGAAACATGGTGTACACGTGCGGCTCCTCTAACTTGTAACTTAACGCCGATAAAGGCTCGCGCACAACTGGCCCGTCGACGTCGCGTCGCCTGCATTTCTTAAACTGCGCGTGCAACTTCTGTGACCGGTTCGCGGGATCGTACCGGTTACACCGTACAAATTGTCGACACCCGAAACGAGCAGACCGATCCTAGACTCTGTTTAGAAATTACTCTCTTCCCCTCCCTTTTCTTTTCGTAAGACATCGTACGAATCGATCGACACTCGCGACAGAATAAACTTCCATTTCGATTTCGATCGCGTGCATCCGCTTTCACGAATAATTGAATTTTTTATCCAACCCGTAACCTCTCGGAATGAGATTTCTTAAACTTTCTCGACCGTTGCTGGTTTGTCGAAAAAGCGTATTCTGCGCAAAAGATGTAGACGGTGTCTAGGCGTACTAGGATTCGAGCCGGAAACAATCATTCGTTAACGACTGCGAACTCGTATTGTAACAGCATCTATAGATTTACATTAGCTGATTATTTCTGCGAAACTTATAGTTTCCAAGATATCCGGCGTTATAGGGTGCTAATAGTTGTTGTCCCACCCTGTATTTACGTGCAATATTTAAGGCGAACCATTCGAAAGCGGAAATAGCACGAAACGACAAGATTGCGTACGTATACTCAAGGTGAGAGCCAGCACGTAAAATAACGTAATACGTTACGTAAGAGAATATTCTTGTAAATCGTGACAACTACGTATCTGGATACGATATCGATAACACGTAAGACGTTCGTCGATGACAGATCGAAACGACCCACCGTTTTTCGTCTTAGTTAAATCCACCGTTATCCAGATATGCAAACAAGTTCGATTTCGTAGCTATCGTATCGTCGTGTTATCGCATTTATTAGAATTCGCCGGGAAAACTATCCCCATTTTTCATCGCTATTTGTTCCTACTCGATGTTAGACTCGATGTTAGACTCGATGCGTACAATTCAGATGACGGGACTACGAGACCATCGCGAGCTGCTCCGTCGGCGTCGATGAAAACAGAACCTGACGCGATCGATGGCGCAACTACGACGAATCCGAGCACGTGTGTCGTATCCGGTAAAACGGAAAGGAAACACCAGCTTCTCGCGAAATAAAAGACGATGCAAGATCACGTAGATTACGCACGACGAACAACACGCGTCTACTTACAGCAAGATTCCGAGAGATCATCGGACAAATGCAGCCAGAAAGCCAATGACATTTGGAACGCATCCTACTACCGGTCATCCACCTTCTTCCTCGATCGTACTCGCCCTCGCATTCGCGTTCCAAACTCAACGTAGCCAACTTTAATATTTAAATCGTACACGCGTAAGCGTCTAATTCGAACCATTCGATCTATCTCGAATCAAAGGTACCGAGACGAAAATTATTCGAGGCGTTCGTTAGATATCGCGAGAGGTATAAAATACGACTGAAGCGAGGCCAAAGTAAAAACGGTGGTCAAACCAAATCACAAACTGATACCGTTTATAACGTACACTCATTCCGTAAGTACGTACATTCTTATCGGATGATCCATTGTTTTATCCGATCTGACGTTTTTTTCTTCGATACGAAATTGCAAAATATCGTACGTCTTATCGGCAACGCGATGATCATTTCATGAAATTTACGAACCGTTCGTCGGGTCATCGTTTGGTCTCGTCACTTTTCAATGTTTCGATTAGTCAACGATGCTTAACGATATCTGCCGAAGATAAGAATACCGGAAACACGGCCGAAACTTGTCGAGCGATTGCACGAGGACACCGATGGGTCCTTGTTACGAGTTGTCTATGTCGTTAAACCAAACTTACGTAGGCAAGTTTTAAAATGGCAGAGACGGCCATCGTTACGCGTACTCGAGATTATACAATTCGAGTAGCACCAATTCGCACATATTTATTAAACGGTGTCACGATGCGACAAGGCTGAATCGTGATAAATCGTTGACGAGAACGAGAGTCGGTGTGTTTGCGCGATCCGATCGGTATTGGAAATAATTGAAAACGATCGAAGAGAATTCGAGGAATCGAAGTTGCATCGAATAGAAATAACGAACGGTGGTACGCGTTTCGTGTAAGAATCGATACGAGTTCATCGAATAGCGGTCTCGTAATGATATGGAGACGAGAATGAACCGGAAACGAGCCGTCAACCGGAACGAGGTTCTTTCGCAACGCATTCGAGCTACGTACAAGCTTCGTAATAAAATGTGACCCCAGCGAACTCTTCCGCGTATCGAAACGATGAAAAAGTCATCGTCGTACAAAACGATTTCGTGGATATTCCATCATCCGTTGATGCAATCGTGGATATCGGTTTGCATCGTAACAATGAAAGGGAGAACCGCGTTCGCGCATCGAAATCTCCGAATCGAAGGGAAAGACGCGTCGATGTCAGCGTCGATGTCGGCGTCGACGTCTATGTCGCTTCGGGTTGTTACATTTTCCGTGGGAGTGGAACCCGTTTCGTTGCGTGAGTCGTACAACCGTTGTCCACGACTGTCCAGCATAATAAGATGCATGTCTCTGACGTAAGACTTTCACCCCCGAGGGTTCCTCGCCGCGTTCCTTTTAAAACTGAAATGGATTACGCTTTACGCTACGGCTACACCCGATAACCTGCCGCTACTCTCGACTTATCCCTGTTTATTCGTTGCCGATCCTCCCTCCATCGTCGTTCGACAACATTCTCTTACTCTTCCATTTTTCTTCTTTTTCATTCGCCTCTTCTCTCTCGGACTCGATCGATAATTACGTAACGAAACATAAAAGTTTATACCGCGATCTCGAGAGGATGTAATAACAACGCAGTTGAGTAGGTACCGTTCAGGTTTCCACGCCAATCTCCGAATCGAACATTTGCGAACCGACTTCTGACGTAACTCTTTCGAGGGATTCTTTACGATCAACTATCGAATGCATTCGGAGACGATGGGATTCGGAGACGAGCCGTGTTGGTCTCTGTTCGCTGCTCGCTGCTCGCTGGTTCGCGCTTAACGAGATATAAACGAAAACCTTGTAACGAATTTCCTTTTATACTTTGCCGTAACACTGTTTTCTCTGCTTCGTACATGAGACATACGAAATGCAATCATTGTCCATCGATAGCTACAGCGTCATTCGCGGATAATTATTCGATGGATACGGTAAGACGGTAACGCGTCATCGATACAACGATTTCGCATCTACCGAACAATTGGTAAGCCGTTAGAGATTAGTCGAAAACTTAACGCAGCTATATTATATTTCAAGTTAATCATCGCCTTCGTGTTATACTATTATCTGTATCTCTCGAGTATCGATTTAAGATCGATAAGATGAAATCAGACGAATAAACGAAGGCCCGTATTTACGGAAATTGTCGCCCGGACCGAAAATAACAAAACTGAATCATTCCCAATGATCGAAGACGATACGTCGTGCACGTGTATTTATACACATAGCTGCGATCGAACGAAATTTTTCAATCACCGACACCGCTGTAAAATCAACGACGCGCGACGATCGAAGCGATCGAGAAAGCGTACGAAACGAGTCGATATTTACGTGTATGTACACGTAGAGATTTTTATACAAGTGGGTCGAGCTTCCGATACCTCGTAAATAATGAAAAGCCGGTGTCTACGAAGAACGAATGATAGGCGTATAGAGTATTGTCTATACGTCAGCTGTATCGCATCTTCATCGTGACAATTCGCTAAAAGTCTGCGCAGATTAGATAGCGATATTACCGATAGCGTGAAATTATCCAAAGTAATTAGAGCGCAAAGGCTGAATAACGTTTTCAACGAGTTTCTGAATCGAATAGAATAGACACATTTTCTGTAAAACGTTGCACTGTGTACGTTACGTGTAATAGGTATCGATAGATCTCGCTCGAAAACGAAAATGAAGCGAGAAAAAGAAACGAGAAAAAGTTGCAAAGCATTGGATGCACAGAACACGGGGCGACGAGTAATAATTTTGAATAAACATGAATACGTGGAAGGTCGAAGGAACGTGGGTACTCACCGCGTACTTGTCCTTGTAAAAAAGTGAACTGGTCGACATGGCGTTAATTCCGAAGCAACAAGTTGCATAGACCGCATAAACTCACGGCTTCATCGTCGATCTTCCTTAGTTCGGCTGCAACTTTTCACTATATCCATTGACTGTTCGACGCACAGGCACCTACGCGCACGGAAGCGCGCCAATATCGTCCCGCGAATCGGTAAAAATTAGAGAAAATTCGACGAAACGACGTTTAAATGTTCCTGGTGATACGAATGTTGACAACGGACCGGAAAAGCAAACGAGGTATCTCGAGTAGAAAGAGCCAAGCGCGCGACTGACACGTGACAGAACGGGACAGGGACAGGATGGGACGGACCCGACCGGACAAGACCGGAACGGGACGAGTCGAGGCTGCGAAAGAAAGAGACTGATACACAGTGTGTATGTCCTGTTAGTTTATGGCCACGGTTACGGCAAGAAAGGTAAAGTACTCCCCTCCTCTTATACCGAGCTGACCTACAATCTAACGCGAAGGCTCTCTCTTTTCGCTCTCCTTCCCCCCTCCCTTTCTCACTCCCTCTCACTTACCCTCCCTCCCTCCCTCTCTCTCTCTCTGTCTCTCTTTCTTTTTCTCGCGCCATCTTTTTTATTTGACCACCATTCCTCCGATAAAGCATTTTACAAATTGCTTCGTTTTGTTCTTTGGCCACCTGTTTTTTTCTAACATTTCAAAATACATATTTAGTAGGCAGATCGATAATTATGAAACGACATATGTATACAATTATCTTTCGAGTAACACCCACGAAACCTATCGATTCCAAGGTGTACCGGCTTATCGAAGAAAATACGATTACCTTTGGATGGAGTTAACATCGTTCTTTTTCGACATCCTTTTCAACGTTTATTTTAAATCCCTTTTTTAGCCAAATATATCTTTCTAGTCATTGCAAGTATCGCGTACTTATGAAAATATGGCTTCGCGATGACGAAATTTTCAGAAATCAGAAATGAAGGAAATTGTACAACGTCGAGTATTTCTTTTGTTAAAATACTATCAACGTTAACGTTAGTTCTAACGTTAGAAATTGGTGGCCAAGAATGGCGCGCAAGGCTGTTTTTAAAATTTCGATTCCGGAAACGAGGGAATTCGATTTCGATAAAACTAGCCAATCGCCATTTTGTTTGGTCGACAGTTGAATCTCGAAACACTCTCGAATCGAATCAGAGGTCTACGGCGCGATACGTAAGTGCTCTGTGTTTGTTTGCTTCTTGCGGAACGAAGCTCTTCAAATATGACTCAAAAAGGCCAGTAAGTATATCGGAATTCACACAAAAACCTTCGTTAATTATGATCCTTAAAATCTAAATTCCACCTCTTTTGTATTATTACGAGAAAAGTAGCAGACATTCGTAGAAATTGCTGAAATGCCGCCCCATGGCTTTCGAAACACCGCCATGTTGTAAGATGACTTTATTGATTCTCGAAATTTCCACAAAAGAATCGCGAGAAATTCGCTTATATTCTTCTTTTTCATCGAATTATAACATGTTCTTTCTTTATTTTTAATAGCCGATACATTGTAGACGTTAAACTTTCTTTTTTTCCATTTACCTTCGCGAGAGCTAAGACAATCAAGTTTCTGATGTACAAGCTTTTAATAGCCTGTATTTCTAAGCAACTCTATATCGATGTTTGAGAAGTAAATACGCATCAATTTTTTATACGTATCATCGAAACGAATTACAATTTAGTGGTCAATTTTATTTTTGTCAATTGTACGGCATTTACGGTGTATTCATTTTGTCTGTAATGACTAGCGGTTTTTGTCGGAAACCATACAACTTTATTTCTAACCTTTACCTATTTTTTCGTTACAATTATAAAATTTATATCTGAATATTGCATTAAGTACTATATTTTATGTACGTTACGTTCCATCTCCCCTACATTATGAATTTGGTTAATGTGAAACTACTAATCATTCTTGATATATTAAATAAAATTGATATCGAATTTACTCGCGTGCGGTATCAAATGCATGTGTGCTCTGTGCGCGCACGCGCGCGTCACATGCATGCCAACGCGTATGCATATATATATATATACATATATATATGCACGCACCTAACCATAGATATATTTATTACGCCCTTATGCTCTTTCTTCTTTGTGCTTAACCATATTCAACTCAAAGTCGATATAATTCTTAATTGAATTCTTGATAATTTATAATTTTAATTTTTTTTATGACTGTAAAAACCATTAATTGTTTACAAACTTTTAGATTGCCTCCTCCACCTGTTATGTGGGCCCAAAGGGAAGATATTTTATTTGTTACCATCTGTTTAGAAGATTGTAAGGATCCCATACTTAAAATCGAACCAGAAATGATATATTTTAAAGGAATTGGTGGAACGGAACAAAAGATGCATGAAGTTACAATTAACCTATACAAAGAAATTGATGTTAACAAAACAGTACAACACATAAAGGGAAGAACTCTCGAATTAATTCTCACTAAAAAAGAATCAGGTCCGTTTTGGCCAAGATTAACAAAGGAAAAAATGAAAGTTCACTGGTTGAAAAGTGATTTTAATAAATGGAAGGATGAAGATGACAGCGACGACGATGTTAACGCGGGAGGAAGTACGAATTTAGAAGACGTAAGATTAATCTTTACTTATCGCATTCAAATGTTGTAGTGGACTTTGTTTAAATTCGTATACTCAAGCATTGTATCAACACTTGCAGATGGTGCAACAGATGGGTGGCTTAGGACATCCGGTCAACAGTAAACCAGACTTCGATGGTTTAGATTATTTAGGAGACGAGGCGGAAGAAATGGACAGTGACGACGATGATTTACCTGACCTGATCGATTGAAAATATTTTGATGCTACATTAAAATAATCTTTATTAAAAAAAAAAAAAAAAGTATAAAACCAATGGCGACCTAAGAATAGTGCACCACCAGGCTGTATTTCAGTAGGCCATGCTATTTGTATTTTCAATTACAAATCAGTTTTGCAAATTTGCCGACAGTTCATGTTGCAGTAGCAAACGAGCAAATAAGGTGCGCGAAAAACTATCAAAGTAAAATAAGTACAGTGGTCGACAAAACAAACAGTAACATACTTTCTAAAGGTTCCCCAAACTCTTAATCTGTAGCTCATATATTAAGTTATAATAATAATAATTATATTATATAAGTATATTATAATTATTATTATTGTTATTATTATTATATTAAGTTATGTTCATTACTCTAAAATAACCATGATAAGTAAAATTACTATCTAAATATAAAAAACTGATAGAAATTAAAATTATCAATTTATTTATCCAACAATACTGGAGGCGCCGCGTAACGCTAGATATCCGGCAGTTATATCCATTGGTAGACTTCGAACTGTCGCAAATTCTTCAGCAGTCGCATAGTATAATTTAGTCTGTGGATCTGTATATCGGGCCTGTAAAATAAATGTAATTATACATACATTTACATTTGAATAATGTGACTGATTCTACAATTGTATAAAAGGATTATCACTTACGGGTAATCCAGAAATATCCGAATATTTCTTTGCTGGTCTGAAGCTTGGCGGTGCATTAATAGAACTATCTGCAATTTTTATTAATTGCTGTGATTATTTTCATCGTGGATCGACATTAATCGCATATATCTTATCGGCTGATTTCAATTACTGTTATGGATTACTGAATATCGAATAACATATTCTCAAAAAGTTATGTAACGAATACTTGACAAGATGGAATTTCTAGTATTGAAAAAATATCACCATTATTTATGAATAGAATTGTAAGGTATTTGTTCCTTGACTTTTTGTGATTTTCGCATCAGTTTTTGATCTTTACTTATTTAAATCGTTTTAAATTTATTAAAGTACATCAAAGATATATATGTATATATATATACAATGTACTATTTCCACCGGCCATGGCAATGCACGTTCCTGAGCCAAAACTTGCTTGAGAGAACGCCAAGTTCGTTTCTTTCCAGCGGTACTAGTAGGCCGAAATTTCTGTTGAAAAATTGGATTCTTGAAAACTGGTTGTAGTTTCTTGTTAAATTCTATCACTTCCTCGCTCACCATTTTTCATTGTACCTATGAAGTTGTACATGTTTTATAACAGCTAGTAATCAATACAAAAACTCGATATAAATAATACATAAACTATTATTTAAACAATTTATTCCCAATTTATTACAAAATTACGTTACTTTCTAATAATATAATTTATAATAACATTCCTTCTGGACTATTTAGAACTAATATTTCTTCTACATTGCATCCCAATATACCACACAGTGTAAGCATCATTGTTGTATTCGGATGTTTAACTAAAACTTTAGCCCACTGACTCAAAATAAGTAAAGCGATATAATAATCCTGTGAATTTCTATAAAAAAATGTTTTTAGATATTTAAATTTACAATATGCGAAAACGCGCGTGTACCGTTCTTTTTTTAAATAAAATACCTCTGAAATTCGAAATGATGCTCGTATCCTTGCATTAAATATTTTTTAATAACAACTGATAAATCATTTTCATATAAAACAAAAGCTTTTTCACTGGGTTCTATCAAACATAAAATTGCATGATGACACAGCAGTTGGTTACATCTTATTTGATCTTCTGCATTATAACGATAACTTTCACTCTGTATAATAATTATTAAATCAAGTAAAATACAAATACTTTGTCTAAAAATTTACCATAAATAAAGATAAATATAGCAATACAACCTTTGCTATATAAAGAGTAACATGCAATTTTTTTTTTATGCTCTCTATGTCTTTTGTATGTAACCGTATGAATCCTTCAGCCATTTCTACTTCCTTTTTTGCAATACTCATGAGACTATTTGGCAAATTATGTCTACTTGAAACTTTCTGATTATTGTTATTATTATTTGTTTTTGAAATATTATTATCTATCCGACTTTCACATGCAAGGACATTTCTAAATTTACTTCTTTTATAATTATTATGTAAGTCAATAGCCTTTGGTTTGCATAATGTAGGTGACAAATTTTTTTTTAATCCATCCAACTTATTCTGTAAATTTATTCTCAATTTCTTCTTGCAAGATGTATTTTTATTTGAAATTTTAATTTCCCTTTCTTTGATGTTATCAAAATGTCTTTTCCTTGCCCTAACTTTTTCAAGAATTTTTACATTAATATTCTTCAAGTGAGATGTTAATATATGCGTATTACTTGAAGAAGTAAACTTATCAGAAAATCTAGTATGTTTTTCTATAAAGTATCGTATATCTTTCTCATTGGAAAAATCCAAATTCTGTTGTACATTAATATCTTTGATTTTTTCTATGGTGCAAAATAATTGTTCTTTGACCTTACACGTTCTGTCTATATACTTTATGAAAGAAATTTTGCTAAAGTTTTTATAAACTGGTGATTGGATTCTTAAACCTAAATTTTGAACAAATGTATGTACAAATTTGTCCACACTGAACATCGGCACTTCGAGCATGTTTCAAATCACTATATAGCAATGTTATACTTGTGCAGAAAAATATTAATGCATGAAAACGTTTTAAAGTACCATATGTAGAAAAATATTAAAATATACCAATTTGTTCTTCATAAAATAACTGAAAACTCATTATCATAAAAAAATTGTTCAAATGTTTTTATATGCAACTTCATAAAAGTATATAATACAATCTACTTCGCAATCATTCATATGTCACAAACAAATTAACATTAATTATGCTGTCATAATAAAAAAAAAATACGGTTAAACAATTTTTCTTATTAACATGTTTATTAATCAAATTTGCTGTAAGCATCTTGCGAAGATATGTTATAAAAATATCTTAAATAAACAATTCTTCAATTATTGTAAGTATATGTACATATATTTCATCGAGCGCTAATAACACACGAGGAAAATTTAACAATATATCGAACCTGTTAATAAATCATTTCATAACCTACAAAAATGAAATTGTTAAATACACATTCCTAATTTTAAATTAATATTCTATTTCTACATTGTTTAGAAACTGCTCAATCTTGTATATACATTTGCTTCTTCGTCACATTATTTAAACATAAAATGTCAGTTTCTAACGAATAATATTTACTACTCACCGCCGATCAGGCAAAACAATTATGTATAAAGAATTGATATTCGAAATAACAGTTAAAAAGAAGTACAAATTTTGAATATTTTGAAAGTTGCCTGTATATGTATAAACAAAACAGATTTTCAAACGACTTGTGATCCGTCTTAGCTATCAGCTAGAAGTTGAGTGCTAGTAACTTTCTCTAGACGACAACATTCTCCAATATAGTTTGCATAATTGCATCAATAATTGATAACTGCATAATTATAGGAAGATATTTAAAAGAATTTAAAAGAAAGATAATTAAATGTAACATATGTACCATATTTAAATAATACAAGTAATATTAGTTATTATTTCACAATATTATTGTTTGTACTGTTTTAAGATATTTATACTACATATCGTTGTTATCTATTCACTAAAAAATAGATATGTTTAATTTGAAACGTAATTCTAACAATATTAATGAAACGTTGGACTATAATGTATCAAGTTCAGGGTAGAGTAGTAGGGGTTTTAAGAAATGAGATTGGGGAACGTGACCAAATTCACCTTGCATTCCCTTGAAGGTCAGAGGAACATTTTTGAAATTTGTTTCAGACTCGCAATCAAATCGCAATTTTGTTTTTATTAGTGATATACGGAAATCGATACATTGTGAAACCATGGGTCGTAAATTCTTTGTTGGTGGTAATTGGAAAATGAATGGTACCAAAAGCGAAATAGATGGTATCGTAGCCTTTTTAAAAACGGGTCCGCTCGATCCAAATGTTGGTATGTTTCTTCTATATGTTATAATATTTTATAATTTGTCTTTCATAATTTTTCAGCGACATTAAAAAGTCATTTCTTATTCTCATGCAAACAGTTTCATTAAAAAATTAATTAATTATATTTTTTTAATAATTCCAATGATATAATTGTTATCAGATGTTGTCGTTGGTGTACCATCGATATATTTGACATACGTGAAAAACATATTACCTAGCAATGTTAGCATTAGTGGGCAAAATTCATATAAAGTTGCAAAAGGAGCATTTACTGGAGAAATCAGTCCTGCTATGCTTTTGGACAATGGAATTCCATGGGTAATTCTTGGTCATTCGGAACGTAGAAACGTTTTTGGTGAAACAGATGAATTAGTAGCAGATAAGGTGGCTCATGCTTTAGAAGCTGGACTAAAGGTAATTAAAATTTCTTTGTAGATTGTCATAATACAATTTAAATTAAAACAAATTCTTTGTCATCTTGACCTTTTATTTCTTTATAAAGGTAATTGCTTGTATCGGGGAAAAGTTAGAAGAGCGTGAATGTGGAAAAACTGAAGAAGTAGTCTTCAGACAAACTAAGGCTATTGCAGATAAAATCAAATCTTGGGACAATGTAGTTGTCGCTTATGAACCGGTATGGGCAATTGGAACAGGCAAAACAGCCACACCTCAGCAAGCTCAAGAAGTTCATGACAAACTGAGAGACTGGTTCTGTAAAAATGTCAATCCAACAGTTGCAGAAACTATTAGGATTATATATGGCGGATCAGTGACAGCAGATAATGCAAAAGATTTGGCAAAAGAAAAAGATATCGATGGATTCTTAGTTGGAGGAGCATCTTTGAAACCTGACTTTGTACAAATTGTTAATGCAAAACAGTGAGATCAAATATTCTGTAATTGCATAAAAATGTTATTTGTTTCATAACTAATACGTAATAGAAATGCATATTTTAAGAAGTACTATAAAGAATTAACTTATTTTTTTTGTTTACATAGAGAAATATTGGGATCATGTCATTGCAGCAAAAGATTCTCAAACTAATAATAAAGTATATATTATCATTCTGTTCTCCTTTTTAAGAGTATATATTTCCTATAAACATATAATCATGAATTACATAATAAATGTTACAACAAAATGCAAATTTTTTTATTTTGTTATAATCCTGTAATTAACGCTGTCCATCAACTAATCCTTTAGGTATAACACTTTTAGGCATAGGAGTGTTATTAACTGCTTTGATTTCTCCTAATTTTGTTTTTGCGCAAGCAATATCAGATAAACATTTAAACGTTCGTGGTTCCCAGACAGCTAAAGTTGATAGCGATTTACGATTAAGTAAAATATTACATCTAGTCAATCCTTCCATCAATGTTTTAAATGTAATACCGTGTTCAATTGCAGCAGCATTTACCCTACTTTCCCACAGCTGTAAATAAGTAAATAATTATGCAAAGGAGAGACGAGACAAAGATAATAAAAGAAAGAATGTTTTCATGCACCTCTTTCATATCTGCTTTTTTAAGTTGTCTTCCTAATGTAGACTTTGTCAATGCTTTGTGTACACTTTTTATTGTTAAGCTGTAACAGTTTCTTCTTCTTCCCACAAAATGCTATAAATTGAAACATTAATTTTGATGGAAAAGATATAATTATTGTGATTCACAACCTACAAATGTATACTACTGTTTAATGGATTTACCGCAGCAAGTTTAAATATTTGTCGTTTTCGCCAAAATTCGTCAGGACCTCGACTTCTCACAAAAAGTTGAGCAGTTAAGAACACCATTTTCCTAGATTTAGATTAATTTAGATACGAAATAGAAACAGATTGCTTCTTTCCTAAGTACTTTGATAATTCTTCAATAATTCTTGTTTGCAAGACATAAAAGGAACATGAATACGATCAAACGATTGGCCACACTACACTAGACCATTGGATTATTATCAATCCATTCGAGAATCTCACTAACACTATAGAGTCTCGAGTCGCCCGTCTACCAACTTTCTACCCATGGTTTTCTCACAAATAAATAATTCCGAATATTTGAAATTGTGAGGTTAGTTAAATTTTATACTCACGTGTCAACTTTTCTATCGTTTTCAACTAAAATTTCAACATGAAAAATAAAAAAAGGTAAAGTGTTTCTTTTAGAATATGTTATGTTATATTATTATTTGAGTTTTCTAATTATAAAACCTTTTAATAGGACAAAAGTAACCGAAACAATCAAGGAAGTGGGAGAATTAGAAGACATAAATATGAACGAAGTCACAGATTCTGAAGAAGAATATTCCGAAACTGAGTGGAAATTACTTCAAAAAGTACGAAACAGATCTTCTTCCGAAACTTATGATAGCGATTACGAGGTTTATGGATTAAATGATGCGAACGATGATGTTGAAAACGAAGAACAACCAGACTCGATGGAGTCCGATATCGAAGGACTAAAGGATGATTTTGATTTACCAAACGAAAAAGCTTGGGGTAAAAAAAAGAGAGCCTATTATTCTACAGATTATGTTGATCCTGATTATGCTACTGCTAGTCAAAAAGATTTAGCTGAAGCAGAAATAGAAGAAGAAGAAGCTAGAAGTATTCAGAAAAGGTTGGCAGAACAATTGGACGATGCTGACTTTGGTTTAGATTTCATAGAATCACAGAAGGACGATAATAAGGAAATTTGTAAATATACAGAACAATTTATAAAGACTGACCTTAGCAAGCTTAGTAAAAGGCAAAAACAAGTAATAATGCAAAAAGAAAATCCTGAATTTATGGCTCTTGTAAATGATTTTAAAGGTATTTCTTATATCCTGTGTTATTCTTTCAAAGTATTACATTTTTGAATGTTTTTTTCAATACTTTTATTTATAAACATACATTATGTTTGATTTAGATCGCATGATAGAAGCAAGGGATACATTGGCACCATTTCTGAAATTAGTTAAAAGCAGTGTACTTTGCAACTCTTCTGCAATCACTTTTGTAAAAACAAAATATCATGTTTTATTAAATTACTGTATCAATATTTTATTTTATTTGATGCTGAAAGCCAAAAGGTTGCCTGTGAATTCTCATCCAGTTATAAAACGCTTGGCTCAGTATCGTCAGTTATTAAATCAATTGGAATCAGAACAAGGAAACTTAGTGCAAGAAATTCACGAGATATTAAAAGCCGAGCGACATGGCAAACCGTTATATAATATATTCGATGAAACTAACGTAAATATTAATAAAAAGAAAGTAACTAGTAGTTGTTTAAAAGAAAAACTGAGTAATCTGAAACAATCTGTAAGACGAGAAGATACGAATACTCATTTAACTGAATTCGAAAGTGAATTTGAAAATGAATCTGTAGATAAAGTAATAGACAAAGAATTTACAGATGAGCAAGAATTAGAAAATCATGTATCCATGGATGAATACAAGGAAGAACAAGATACCGGTATGGCAGATTCGGTAACCGAAAACGAAGGAAAGAGAGCAATTACATATCAAATAGCAAAGAATAAAGGTTTAACACCGCATCGTAAAAAAGAGCAACGCAATCCTAGAGTAAAACATAGGAATAAATATCGTAAAGCTAAAATTCGAAGGAAGGGAGCGGTATGTATTAAATTAAAACTTGTTAAGCATTAGATAAAAGATTTATTAAAGATATTATTTAAAGTAACTACTTATTTTTTATTTTGCAGGTTAGAGAAGTGAGAAAAGAAATTACTCGTTATACTGGAGAAATATCTGGCATTAAAGCTAGTGTAAAGAAAAGTATTAAATTAAAATAAAAAAGCAAAACAAAACTATTGTAAATACATTAAAGATTGTAAAACTAGTTTATTCTCTAAAGTATATGCATTCTTTTACAAATATAAATGTAGATACATGAAACAATAGTATCATTATTTTGACAATATTCACAGGCTTTATTCTATTTCTATTGTTAACAGTACAAATTAACTAAGAAATGTTTTGTTTAATGAAAATATAGCCAGGAATAACACAGAAAGCGATAATTATATAAACATAATGAATAAATGATTTATTTTCTTTTATACATACGAAATCGTGACACCTACATAAACATCAGACTCCAAAAGAATCGAGCAACTTTACAAATTAACAACAACGAACGCAAGGTTAACTTGAATACCGCTGTTTTTTATTCCTGAATTTTCCAGGAAATAAATTTTAATGTTTAAAAAATTGTTAACATAAATTTAATGGAATCTTATACTTCTAACTTCGCCAAAATATCCGACTCGCGGAATAAATGGAACTCCTTATTGTCTTCGAGTTCTACTTTAGTTCCGCCATATTCCGGCAATAAAACAACATCACCAACTTTAATACTTAAAGGAACATGTTCTCCTTTCTAAAAGATAAACTGTAATTATTACTTTTGTCACTTAGTTATTTATTTTAATGGTAATTAAATAATTATGCATACATCATTACGTTGTCCAGGTCCAATAGCCACAACAGTTCCCTGTAGAACTTTTGTCTGTGCTTTCTCTGGTAAAACAATACCTCCTTTCGTTTTTGTTATGGCTTCTGCTCTTTGTATGAGAACTCTGTCAAAGAGCGGTACAAGCCTCTTAATAGCGCTAGCTGCAGCCTAAAAGTATTAAATAAAGAATATGTAGGAAAGTTCTGCCAACCATATGCAATGGAAGTAATTACTTTAAGATTATGCATGATGCAAATCTGCAAATTTTTTTAATACTGCAAATGAAAAAAAATTTGGATCAAACATTAATGAAAACACGATTTTATGGTGTATATCTATCGACAACTTTTGAGCAAAATTTAATATTGAATCGTACAAGTAAATGACGTACTATAACGTACATTCTTTTATTTTACTAAAAGTTTTATAAGCATTTGTTTTTTTTTCTTCCTCGCTAACAAAAACACATGGATACCGGCCATGCGACGAAATTATCGAAACAAAGAATTAATGGAATTGTATAAAAAAACAAAACAGTATAGTACCATATATTTGATAGAATTTCATGCGCGTTTGTATATATTAGATACATTTCTCGAATTACAGTACTTTTTGTGAGAAATGTATCTACTTACTAATTTGAAGGTTATCTTCAGAAATACAAAAAATTGCAATTGTTAATCAGTCATTTTATATACAAGATATATAGAAGAAACATAAAATTACCGATAATTAATTAAAAATATTCTAAGTTTTTTCATTCTTACCATTGTTAAGATAACGTGTTTTTAAAGTCACGAGTTCAAGCAAAGCAACCGGCAAACACGCTAGAGCACGTTGTATAATGTATGTGGCGAGGCGAATAGCTTCTTCTCGAAATTTCCAGTCTCCCCACCATCTTTCCTAACCCCACCAAACTTTCATTGATTTCGCACTGAGCAACAACCATGTGCTATTACGTAATGCGTTGGTAGCATCTAAATCTAACAATAAGTCTACGGCTGTATAAATATAAAGTCTGCCGTAAGATAGCGCTTATTTAAAACTTTATATGCGTACACACGCACGCACAGCAAATTATACGAATATACTTATTGTTATTAAAAAAAATGCATTAGCATTTAAAATCAGTCAACAGCGTTATATAATACAATGGCCTAGAATTTGTTAACTTAAACTCGCTTTTTCAATGTTGAAATAGAATGTTGAAACAGAATAATATTTATCAAATTAAATATAGGGAAAAAATGACGAAGATAAAATACAGGTCAAAGGACGATTACAAGAGAATCAGCATGCATTCGAATTAATTTGAATTCGTCAAAGTACAAGTTACAAAGAGTATGTATGTATATATAATATATTGTTTTCAAGAGATAAATTATTAACGTGTACTTTGATGTAAATCTGTTTTTTCTTTTGTACTTGATATACTTCAAACTGTATAGAGAATCATTCATAAGTCGGGAAAATCATGAAAAATTTGTGTCGATCTCAAGCCTGAGAAACACCGATTGTGAGTTGTGTAAAAAGCGAATCCGTTGATCTAACAACGAACGAACATGATTGGCGTACGCTAGACGATTGCATCACACACGTTCCAGTACATTCTAGAAACTTATAAATCTCGGGAAAAAACGTTGCACCGATAAGCTGATGTAACGAATGCGAATACAAAAAAAGATGATTAATCATAAGACATTTGTTTTAATTTTATTTAATTTAATTTAAATTTGCTTAAAAATCTCGTACATTTCTCGATCGTATATAGTAGAATTAGGTTAGAGTTTGTCGAAGTGGAGGGGGATATCCCATGTGATAGCGCAAGCTCCTTCACGTTCACATTCACACTATTTCACGCATTTCATTGTACTAGCACTGGCGAGACAACGTGCGGTCACGGTGCGACGATTTTCAATTACTTTTACGACTCTGATCTCTTAACCAACGGCTTCTTTCCATAGATAAAGGTAAACTTCTTTTTTGGCAAAATTATCATTCTAAGATGCGTAGGAAATGCACATGAATTTCTAACGATATTAACCGGTTAAACTGTTCCCGGAGTAATTTGTTTCTCTGATAAGCATTTCGCATTTTATTTCTTCTATCGGTTAACATTTTATTTGGTTCTATTTTTGTAATAATTTTCTCGTCGAAGTCTGTGCTGTCGATGATATAAAAACATTACGTATTTGCGACGATTTGATATATTTTTAAAAAGATAACCAAAAATGTACGGTGAAAGTAGAATGTAGTTTCGTATTCGTACGGACGATCAAGATTCTTTTTGATAGCTTTAATTTTTCCAAAATATTCCTACTTCTTTTCTATGTAATTATATTCAAATTTTTACATAGATCTTTTTCTGTCGAACATGCCGGCCGGGCCATGATGCCCACGATATCTTATCGTAATTCGAAATAATCGAAAAAGGAATTAAAAGTCTAACAAAAAATATGAGAATGTTAATTGTAGATAATTTATTGCAAACAATTTTTGTAACTTTCGTGATAATTTACACGAGGGTGTTGGGCATAACGATGGTCATCCACGCGGTAGTTTACATAACCATGTTTACTTTCGAATAGTAATTACACCGCTGATTCCCTTTGATTACTCGTATTATATAAAAAAAAAGAATATTTTATCTAAATAAAATTATACAATTTTGTTTTTAGTTGAAATCGGAGATAGTTTAAATTTTATAAAAATCGTATTTTCATGAAATGTGACTTTGATCTATTTTACAACATTAATAAACGGTAATATTTAGATGTACAAATGTAAATGCTGAACATTTTATTTTAGATGTACAGATTACCAACTGTTTTGCGTAACGTAGCTTCGCGCCAATTACAAATTCGTTCCTATGCCAAAGATGTACGCTTTGGAGCTGAAGTTAGGGCACTCATGTTACAAGGTGTAGACATTTTAGCTGATGCAGTTGCAGTAACAATGGGTCCAAAGGGACGTAATGTTATCTTGGAACAAAGTTGGGGTAGTCCAAAGATTACCAAAGATGGTGTAACAGTGGCTAAGGGTGTAGAGTTGAAGGATAAATTTCAAAATATCGGGGCAAAGTTGGTACAAGATGTAGCTAATAATACAAACGAAGAAGCAGGTGATGGAACAACCACAGCTACAGTTTTAGCGAGAGCTATTGCTAAAGAAGGCTTTGAAAAAATTAGCAAAGGTGCCAATCCTGTAGAAATCAGAAGAGGTAAGTAAAGACAAAATTTTCCATAATATAACACAAAGTTTTTAAATTAATTAATCCATATATTATAGGTGTTATGTTAGCAGTCGATAAAGTTAAAGAAGAACTAAAGGCTCTAAGTAAACCGGTAACAACTCCAGAGGAAATTGCTCAAGTAGCAACTATTTCAGCTAATGGGGACAAAGCCATTGGTAATCTTATCTCCGATGCCATGAAAAAAGTTGGAAAGGAAGGTGTTATTACAGTAAAAGATGGTAAAACGCTGCACGACGAACTGGAAGTTATAGAAGGAATGAAATTTGATAGGGGTTACATATCTCCCTACTTCATAAATTCTAGTAAAGGAGCAAAAGTTGAATTTCAAGATGCACTTTTACTCTTCAGCGAGAAAAAAATATCATCTGTACAGTCTATAATTCCAGCATTGGAATTAGCAAATTCGCAACGAAAACCGCTTGTCATTATAGCCGAAGATATCGATGGCGAAGCTCTGTCGACGCTAGTGGTCAACAGATTAAAAATTGGTTTACAGGTTGCCGCGGTTAAAGCACCTGGTTTTGGAGACAATAGAAAGGCAACGCTTCAAGACATGGCAATTTTAACTGGAGGAATTGTGTTTGGAGATGACGCGAATCTCGTAAAATTAGAGAATGTACAGTTATGCGATTTAGGCGAAGTAGGAGAGGTCGTAATTACAAAGGATGATACACTTTTCCTTAAAGGCAAAGGAAAAAAAAATGACGTTGATCATCGAGCAGACGTAATTAGAGATCAAATTGCAAATACAACTTCCGACTATGAGAAGGAAAAATTACAAGAACGTTTGGCAAGATTAGCATCAGGTGTTGCAGTTTTGAGAGTTGGCGGAAGCAGTGAAGTGGAAGTGAATGAAAAGAAGGACCGTGTTCACGATGCCCTAAACGCCACTCGTGCTGCCGTTGAAGAAGGCATTGTTCCCGGAGGTAAATATAAATGGTCATTTACGAAAATATCTATATAAGATTTCTTGATAGATTATTTCATGAAATATTTTTCTATTGTAGGTGGTACTGCTCTTCTACGATGTATCCCAGCTCTTCGAAATTTGAAAGCATCGAATAACGATCAAGAAACGGGAATAAAAATAGTGGCAGACGCTCTGCGCATGCCATGTTTACAGATCGCTCAAAATGCAGGTGTAGATGCTAGTGTAGTAGTAGCAAAAGTTAGCGAAAGTAACCTCGGTTACGATGCTCTGAATGACGAGTATGTCAATATGATCGAAAAGGGTATCATTGATCCAACGAAGGTAGTCCGTACAGCACTTACCGATGCCGCAGGTGTTGCATCGTTACTTACAACCGCGGAAGCAGTAGTTACCGAATTGCCTAAAGAAGAGCCTCAAATGCCAATGGGTGGTGGCATGGGTGGTATGGGTGGTATGGGAGGTATGGGTGGTATGGGTATGTAATTAAGTGAAATCCCATGCAAAGACTGAATTTCATATTGTAACTAATGTTTGGCAAAAATTGCAATTCAGTCGCAATATCATCTCACTTATTGGAAATTGCGATTAGAACTGTAAGTATACGACCCATCATTCTCCAATCGTGTATCCAGAAAAGCCGAACGTGTTTAATTATACTTTAAAGCAAAGGATAGACACATAGAAAACAAGTTTGTTCCCTACATGTTGTAATATTTGTTCTATACTCATTTGTCTTTATTTTGCATTTATAAAGATTATTGTTTTATTGAGAATGTACGTGTAATGAAAATTAAATTTTCATTAGAACAAATGTATATTTGTTTTGAGAGGTTATGTCGCGATAAGATTTAGGGTAAATGATCGAATCGTCATACTACCTTTCAAAATTTGAATTAATTTGTAAAATTCCCCTGGTTTCTTCCAACTAACGAGCCATTTATTTGTGTCTCGAAAACATTTATTAAATTGTACACAATAAACAATTTTGTTTACTTTTTATCATTGATCTCGCCAAAAAATAAAATGTATCTGTTCACGAATTTTTTAAATAGTTCGGAATAGAAATAATAATTTTTTGTGCATTTTATATAATTTCCTGTCTGTGTAGATGAATGAAAATGCAAGTGTACAGACGTGTGTATCGCAATCATCGCAATAGGGTAAAAATAGAAGTGTCGCATACTTTTTGTAAGTGTTACAATTTATTTTTCATTTTTTCGTCTCAATAAATGTATGTTAAAATGTACATTCTTCTTATTTGAGAAAAACTCCCCTCTATTTATTAAAATTTAAAGAATCTACAAGGAATAATTTGACACGATAGAATGCTCGTTTTTTATAAAAGCTCGATTAAAATGAAGACATTACAACATTTCCTATTATATAAAAAAAAAACTCACTTTATCGTATATGTATTATACAAAAATATTCTTTTATTTTGTATACTTTTGAATTCTATAATATTCCTGATCCAATTGCCACGTTTAGGTGCGGTATAAAATAATCAATATTTATAAAATCGTAAAATAAATTATAGATATGACATTTGTCGGTAATATGTGCTATTGGAAAAGAAATACAAAGAATTGGTATTAAGAATACAAAGGTCTATTCTCTTCGCAAGTATTACAATATATCTATCATATTAAATGTCAAAAGCATAATTATATTTTTTATGGATTAATTTAAGCTCCAATTTTTTCTATTTCATCCGCATCATCCGCATCGAGATAGTGTATTCTTTTTCCAAAATGTTTCTCTATGTCTTTACATAATTCCATTGCGTGTGGTGAGTCAATTAAATTAATGGCAATTCCAGATTTACCAAACCTTCCTGTTCGGCCAATTCTGTGTAAGTATGTTTCACAATCAGCTTGCCGATTTTGGTCCATCGGTAGATCGAAATTGACTACTATTGTCACTTGTTCGACATCGATTCCTGTAAATTGTAATGTAACGATCAATTTACGAAATACTATTCGACCGGGTATTCAATAATTAAATTACCTCTTGCTAAAACGTTTGTCGTGATGAGAACTTTTTCAAGACCAGCTCTAAATCGATCCAAAACGGATATTCTTTGTTCAACTGTTAGTTCACCAGATAAAACGGCTACCGCATGTCCATCTTTCGTCATTTTTTCTGCTAACCAGTTAGCTGTTTTCCTAGTCTATACGTAGATACAAAGTGTTGTTTAAAAGTTTTCAGTAAAGAAAATACTGTATAAATGTAAAAATGGAACACCTTACGTGACAAAAAATGATCGCTTGCCCTATTGTTATTACACCATAGATATTAGTAATGGCTGTATATTTTTCATCCAAGTCCTTGCATTTGACATAATATTGCTTAATGTTATCTAAACTCTCTTCTTCTTTTAATAATCTTATTATTAAAGGATTATTAACTATAATTTCTGCAAATTTCATTACTTCCGGTTCATATGTTGCAGAAAAAAACATCATTTGGCATGTACGTGGAAGTTGCCTATGTGTAAGTATTAGAAAAATATATATATACATATATATATATATACGGACATGCAACATAATTTAAGATGTCTTTTCATGTTTTCACATATTAAAATAATTACTTATGAATTCGAATACACTGATCTTGATGACCTTGTGTTGCAATCATTACATCTGCCTCATCTAAAACAAAAACTGATATTTTGTTCAAATTAAAAAATTTGAATTTAACAGCCCAGTCTAAAACTTTTCCTGGTGTTCCTATGATGATGTGTTCCGTGATTTTCGATCCACGACTTACTGAAATAATTAAGGAATTAATGTAAATATTTTTTTAAATAGGAATATAGCATTTCTTGTAGAGAAAACTTAATTAGCATATATTACTTTCTTCTCCTCTAACAGCGTATTTTATTTTGATTTCATTACAAAATGCAGACATTTTTGCTGCTACTTCTCCTGTTTGTATAGCTAATTCGTAAGTTGGTGATAAACAAAGTACTTGAGGATAATTCTTATTAGTATCAACTCTGCTAAGCATTGCCAACACAAATGCTGCAGTTTTACCAGTTCCAGACTGTGACTGAGCAATCATATTCTGAGGTCTACAAATAGTTTATTGAGTTTCATATTTATTACTGGTACTTTATAAAATACTTATACATAAATAATAAACTTACGGGTCAGCTAGTAAAGTAGGTAATGCAGTTTCTTGAATTTTAGATGGAGCATTGAATCCCATAGCATATACTCCTTTTAATAAAGCTGGTTTACTATAATGTACATTATAAACTACATTTTTTTAATGTTCTACAAATGTAAGGTAATTAAGAATTAAAAATACCAACAGGTGAAGCGCTTCAAATGATTTGACGCTATACAAAGGTGAGGATGGATCTTTCCTTTGAATTTTTAAATCCTTCGTTGTTTCCACCAAACCCTTACGTATAATTTTTTGCAGTAATGATTTTTCTGCAGGTGAAATAAGTTCATCTGAGCCATCGTCGCTCTTGGACTCTGTATTAGTTGTGTTCTCTTTAAGTTGCTTGTCTATATTTAAGTTTGACACCTATTGATAATTATTTATAAACATTTAATTACTAAATGAATGAACGATATACACTGTACAAGAAAGACTTTTGTTTTTAATGATAAACAGGTATCAACAAGTAAACATGAGGTTAAACCGGCATTATAAGTACATAAACAACAAGAATACTACCTTCGCGGATAGTTTCTCCTGTTCGTCCACATATTTTCCCCAATCGAGTTTAGCCGAAGCCATATTAACATTGATAAATTTACGATAATTCAGAAGACAATTTGATTTCAATTATAACGGCAAATTGACAAACACTTGTTCATCGAATACTTTTTGCGTTGTTGCATAGGGTCCAAGCTCACGTTTTTGGTACAAAAGTTGTAGCGCCGCGTGGGAAAAATTCACCCAACTAAAATGTGGAGCACACAACATGCATGCATATATGTATATACAGTAGCGGGTTTTTTAAATTACTTTTTGCTCGGGGACTTGGGAAGGCATCAATTAGCGATACAAGAAGATAGAGAGACGCTACTGTGATCGAAATACAGTCTCTGTTTTAGCAACGCCCTCATTCAAAAGATTGCAAAACTTGCTTGATCGAATCGACATGGTGCGATCTGGTAGTAGTTGAACTGGTTGAACCTGGTTGAACCTGGTTGAACCTGGTTGAACCCAGTTGAACCTGGTTCAACCCACGTGTAAAATTGTGTGAAACATTTTACTGACATTTTTAGGTTATGTAATTTCTAGGACAATTGTGTATAATCGTCGAAAAATATTCATAATTATTTAAGTTTAATGCAAATCTTTGCAAAAATGTTCCTTTAATTTTTCCACTGATCTACGCTACGCATCTGCGTCCCGTACATAAATATGTTATCTATATTGTCCACGAACATATGAATGTATGTAGCTATTGTAATGTAATGGTAAAATGCATGGCTCCAAATGTATATTTGAAATAAATACTTTTGTCATTTATCACGCTCTTTAAACTCAAATAATGTAACGATAATGAATGACACAACCGAATCAAATGTGACGGTCGTAAATTCGGCTCGTTTGGATAGGCAACTGACAGTAAAGGAATCAGGATCTTGGCTCGACGAACGATCGATAAATGGGAATCAAGGACAGACGTTTTCCTTTGAGCCATCCTACTACAAATTTCAGGATAATATAGGCAAGTATAATAGGAGTAAACAGTACATAAAGTTCAACTAACAGTTGTACTAGTTTTTGTCAATGATTTGCTTAACTATTACTATAGTTTCTATAAGTACCTTCATCGATGTATCAACAAATGTTCAATGGTGGAAAGATGTATCCAATCAAAATATGAATATACAACCTGAATGTCAACAAGAACCAGTTCCCTCGTCAAACTATCCATTAACAAGTATGAACTTAGAGTAGTAAGAACTTTGTAATCGAAATAGTACAATTTTCTGAATTTATGAATAATTATATTTTTTCAGATTATTCTACAAATACTCAGCCAAATAGATTAGAACAAGCAGGATCGCATGGAACAAAGTCTATAATACCTAAGCAACCAAAAAAGCCAAAAACTATAAGGCAGCATAGGGAACCTTTAAAACGTACCAAACATCCAGAGTTATGGAAGGTAAATGTAAAGAAAAATGCTAGACTAAGAGGCGAAGAATACATTGGTGTAGGAGGTAATTGTAAAAAATGATTAAAAATTTATTTAAATTATTAAAAAAATTATTTAAAAAATTTAGAAATTTTTAGGAAGATTAGTACCAGCTAAAGCCATGGGACCTCCGTGTAAATGTCGTATGCGTTGTATCGAGAAAATAGATGAATCAGCACGGGAAGAACTTCATAATATTTTTTGGAAAACGTGCAGTTGGGAGCAACGGAAACAGTACGTTGCGCTCTCCGTAAAGGAATCCCCGAAACAACGTACTCGGTGTCGTGGAAATGTTAAATCAGAACATCGTCGACAAATCACGTTCACCTACTCGCTTTTATCGAAAGGAGAATTTATTACGGTATGCAAGTGCATGTTCCTCAGCACATTTGCAGTTTCTGAAAAATTTGTACGCCATGTAATGGACAAAAAAAGAACATCCCCTAGCGGAGTCATAGGACCAGACCAAAGAGGAAGACATACACCAAAAACGAAAAAGAGTGAAACTGTTAAAGATAGAGTACGCGAACATATCAATTCGTTTCCAACAGAGAAATCAACAAATTCAAAGGATCGCATGGAAAAGAGATATTTGGACTCCGCGTTAAGTATAGTTGCGATGCACAAACTCTATGTATCAAAATGTAAAGACGAAGGCATTCCAGAAAGCGATATAGTTAAAGAGAGTTATTATAGGGAAATGTTTAAGACAGAGTTTAATCTTGCTTTCAAACAAACAAAACCTAAGGAGAACGCGCAATTGATTAATTCGACAATTTAAGAGAGTGGAGACCAGTCGAGAGGAAACACCGCGACCAGTTCAAATTTAAAAACAGTATTTATCGAATATCATCGAACATCTTTATTTCACGATAATATTTATATGTGACGCACAAGTGTCGACTATAAAATTTGTTGTAAAACATAAATATAAAATGATACATAATTTTGTATGTATTTCAGTACGTAAGGCTGTATTTTATACTGTATGTCGTGTAATCTATTTAAAGATTATTATTATAAAGTTTACACTGTACAGAGTTCAGATATAGTTACTATACTGCTTAATTATAAGCGAAAACGTATGTATATAAATGTTATTACAAAACAAAAAATATTTACACATTTTTATATGTTGTAAAATGTAATTCGTTGTAAAATGCATTATTGTCAAGAAATAACAGATCTATATTTTTAATCGCTACGCCTTAAACGGACAATAAATTGCAATTGTAACGTTTAACGTATTAAAGAACTTATTTACAAAATACATAAAATATTTCTAAAAAGATTAAATCACACATTTCATATACAATGCATAAATGAAAAATACAATATTGTACGAAAAAATGTAGCAAGTTAAAGCACGTTATGACTATAATTTAATTTCCTTTCTATAATTTTCAAGACTACTTTTCTATTCCCTTTGTTCCTGCTGCGTCATCGCATTTTCGTTCAATTTTAACTTACGTCCGAGAGCGCGTTAACTTCCTTGCATCGCTTCGTAGCAGCTTCAACCGCACCGATTACAGCTGATCTCAAACCTTGCTGTTCCAGATAATGAATTCCTGCTATGGTACACCCTAAGAAAAAAAAGAAATGCTAAATAACATAATACGTGAAGCGTCAACAAACGTATTATATAATTCCAAGTGCAATATCGTCGAACCTGCTGGCGACGCCACATCGTCCTTCAGTTGTCCTGGATGGATATTCGTTTCTTTGACCATGGTACCAGCGCCAAGAACAGTTTGCGCTGCTAACTTTAAAGCGGTCGATCTCGTGAGTCCCATTTTTACGCCTCCATCAGCCATAGCCTCTATCATCATGTATACCTGTGCGAAGAGTTATGCTTTTTTGCATTTCTTTTTCATTTTTCTAGGTGCCGGCATTTATAATAATATTACTTACGTATGCAGGACCAGAGCTAGCCAGAGCAGTAACGGGATCGATTAAGTATTCGGGTATCTCTTCGCAGATACCAACGGCGGAAAACAACTTCTCCGCTATTTCGGCTTCTTTGTCACCGGCGTATTTTCCACGAGCAAACACCGATGCACCGCATCCAACGAGGGCTGGTGTATTAGGCATCACTCTTATCACCGGTGTTCCATCTGGTAGAGCCTGAAATTAATACGAAATGTTTTTGAAAATTAGTACCGTTTAAATATAAATTAACATTTTGTGTACTTACCTTTTCTAACGATGCCAACGGAACGCCCATAGCGATAGACAGCAAAAGTTTATTGTAATTTTTTAAATCCGGAAGAACTTGTGGAACCACTTGCGGTTTCACAGACAGAATAAGAACGTCGCCATATTCGACCACAGGCCCGTTGGAAAATACGGTTTTCGATCCTATTTCCTAAAATAACTCGGTCTAAATTTATCGATCAACGACAATGTGCTCGATATTAATATACATATATCGATACACTTAACAAATTTCAAATAAACTTAATTCCAGACATTCAATGAAATTAATGGACTTATCGTACGAGATAACGCGCGGTATGGTATTGGTAATTTTCCTAAGTACGATAATGACCGAGAAACAACAGTTGATTCGATCATCGAGCATTTTTCACTTCATAATTTCCAATTCTAAGATTCGTGCGTTATCGAGTAATCTTTAAATTTAAGAATCGACTCTACATTAAGATAAAATATCGTGAAATCACTGACCGAAGCTGTCATCGAAACACCGATAATTGCTGATCGTACGTGTTAACGATTTTTCGGATATTGTTATATGTAATAGCCGATCGACTCGAGATCGGTATATGTATATCGGTATGTATATTTCGGTACGTATGTTTAGCGATCAAACATGAAATGAAGAATTTGTCGTTTCGATGTGTTTTCGAGACAAATGGAGAAATCGATAACGACGGTAATCGTTTAATTACACTTTGTAATTTTTATCTGTGTATCGGAAGTGCATCGATGACAAATAATCAATAAGTCTCTAGAAGATAGAAATTTATTATTTTCAGGATTAAGATATCAACCCACCTTGAACGAGTCTATGCTGCTCACGTCGTTTTGAAGACAGCTCGCCAACATCATTTCACCCTTGCTTAAGCCTGCAAAAGATACGTTGCTGTTAGAAATTGTAATTCGATTCGATGAAAAAAATGATTCATGAAAACGTAATTAAACTCAAACTCGAGTGCCATTCACTTCTCACTCAGATATTAACAGTTTAAATGCGATGATAACGCTATCGTAAACACGTGCGTGTCGGATGTTAGTTTTACCGGCGCGAATGAAACCCTTGGCCAGAGAGTGGGCCATTCTTCCGCCTCCGATGAATCCAATTTTCAGCATTTTCGTGTCGATATCGAACGAGACCCTTTTTCTCTTATCCTCGCCGTCACCAAGGAGTTGATCGCTCACTGTGTAAAAAAAAAAAAAAAACAAAGAACAAATATATGTTTATAATACCGACCGAAACACGAACATTTCTGCAATTCCATCGTGCAGAATTTCACTTCTTCGGACACGTACACTTTTCGTACAGCAAATTAATCGCTGTTAACTGTTTTCGCAGCAAAGAGTTTTTACGACTTGTTGTTAAAGCTCGTTCCCGCAAGTTTACCAATAAACGTATCCAGTAACTATTAAGATTGCGATACCGAGGGAAACGCGGCAAGCATGAAAACACCAATGCTAAGAACTGATGTTTCTAATCTGAAGTCTATAAGTTTCTAATCGGCACAGAGTAAAGAGGAACACTGTTCGATCGCGATATTTACAAAGAAATCGGTGCTCCGGGGTCTCGGTCCTCGCTTCACGTTCCTCGGGTCAGATTATATTTCAGTAGTTTCTCTTTTCTGTTCTTTTTTTTTTTTTTTTTTTTTTTTTTATGTAACTGTCCGCGAGATAAGGTCCTCGCGTATCTGCGTTCATTACGCATATATGCGACAAATAATGCTCGTAATAAATCGTGTCCATGATTTTACGGCTTCGCTCACGCTGGTGAATTATTGAACGTTTCAGTCAGTTTACGGAAGAAATACGGGAGGACCGTAATTTAAACGAACGTAGAACCGAACGTAGTTTGCGACAGGAGGAAATTATCGAATGGTCGAGAATGAAATTGTTCACAGGGGACTTTGGTAAGCCAGGAGGGCATTACACGATTGCAAATTAAATATTTTCAAATTGAACGAATGCAAAGATAAACCGATTGTGATTTACGAGCCGGAGGGGAAAAAATCGATTAAATTTAAGGCGGTCATATTTTTAACGATTACTTAATTCAGAGAATGTTTCAGACCTCTTCAAGTATCGGATCTCTCGTTGTAAACGATGCAATTGCTTGTTACACGATACGATATTAGTACACATAACATTTACGTACCTACAGTAAACAGATATACTCGGTCCGTTAAGAATTGCCAACAAACATTAAAGTATAGAAAAAGAAAAGAAATAATGAAACGTGCCGAAACGAAGACCTATATGTATTTACGCTGGAGAATTTTGCACGGAACTACACGCTGATTATCACGGTCCAGACTCCATAGTGAGACCTTGTATTATCGAACTAGACGTTTTAAAAAACTCGGCACATGACACATGACATGAAGCAAGTTGTAACAAGATATTATCAATAATAGTAGTAATCATATAATACGGGGGTAGCAACCTGGAACTACAAGACAGAACGAACGAGATAACCGATTGGTAATCTACGAGAGACGGAATATTTCGACAAGATGAGTCAAACCAAAACATGTGAATCCCTCGTGCGAGGAGAAATCGACAAGTCCTTAACCATGCCGCAATCTGAAACTTATCAAGATAGAAGCAATCCAAGTCTGTACTATAACGCGTCCTATAACGCTATAACGCTATAATGTGTAAGTGTGCGTACGATCACACGATCGATTAGGTTAGAATACACATTGAAAAGAAACATTGTATTGAAAATCTTAATTAGATCCGTTAAAGGCTAGATCGAACGTTTGCGGAAACGAAAATATTGCTGTCGATCCAGGTTTTAGCCTAGTGTTGGTGTTGCACGTTACGTCTGCGTGTATATGTATGTATGTGGGTATATGACGCGACGTAAATAGTACCACGCGCGACAGATCTTAACAGTTGATTAAGTAGAATTACGTTTTAGGCTGTTATCGACAATTGTTTGATAACATCGCGATTCGGTTCGAATCGAGACAATATTTGTATTTAGGTTACTCACCATTCCGACTCTCCAGCCGTCGTCGAATTCGTCGACTTAATTTGAAAAATTCCATCGTTTTCACTCCCGCGGTCATTTTGCTCATTTCTCTTTCTATCTTTCGCGACAAAGTTCACAATCAGCCACAACACGATCAGACGATGATCACGATGATAAACGACCAGGTAAGAATAGAATTCGACGGAGAACCTGCAAACTTTGTATACATTAGGATTGCACTGCTGAAACGTGCATCGTCGCGTGATTTGTAGATCAAACACAGATAATTAGTGGCGCCTATACAATTTACCAACAAACGTCGCAGGCGTTTGTAATTGATAAAATATTAACGAAATAATATTTAAAAGGTATGGTAAAAATATGTAATTATACGTGAAAATATACACAATAATTAAGAGATGATACACTATGTACATACAAACGGTTACCTTCGTTATTGTGTGTTGGGTATATCAATTATCCTACACTGTTTTTTATACTTTTAATGAATATAAATTCATAAAACTCGAATGTGGCGTAAACACTTGCGCGATTTACATAGTTGGACGAAAGTCGTGGTCGTTTCGATTATTTTCTGATGCAAAAGATATCACGGATTGCCGAAACAACTGCTCCGCTTACGAATGCATATAACGTTTAAATAGTACACACGATGCTTTTTCACCTGTCTTATATGCAGTCATCCCTCGTCTTCTCTTGCTAAAATACGACTGACAAATTATTGTTCGCTACAAACGGAAAATTACCTATTCGGCCGCGGCCAATCACAATTCAAACATAATTGTATCACCCTCTTATCTGATCCGGTGTCTTTCCAAGTCTAACGGATAGGACCTCGAATGATTAACAGCAAGATAGCACATCGCCTATGCATCGAAATTCGTCAAAACTTATTCTTACCTAGAATAGTTTTTATCGATGAAATTTTTCTCTTATCGACACTCGTATCGACGTAGATACTTTTTAAGTTCACAAATTCGTTTTGCCATTTATCCGTGGAGTCCTGTTGTCGAATACTTCAGGAAAACGTAATTAATTAACAAAACGAACTTCATTTTTGTAATACAATGATTGTGTAAAGAACGTGTCTTTGACATAGACCGCAGATATCGGTAACAATATCTGCTCGCGAACGCGTTACCCACCGTAGGTTAAAAAAATGTATTTTCTTGCTGAAATATAATAATCTTTTATTTTAAATCACTTGCGACATACGCTATCGTCGCGTTGCTTGGATTCAGATAAAATTTCGATACCAAATATACAAATAATATTAATTGGCATCGGAAAGGCACTGGAAAATATATAACACGTTTAAAAATGTTCAAGTTACTTCATATCGTAATACGAAAACGATAGCTATGCGTATACCTTTGACCTTTCCATGACAGATTACACTGATCCATTAAAATCGTATTGTTTATCGCGTCGAAGAAGAATTCTTTACTCGTTTTCACGATAAATCAACGCTTTATCTACCATTTGAGTAAACAGCGCCGTTAGTACGGTAGGTAAGTTACAATCGAAAAAATTAATCGATTCAAACTAAACAACAACTTAACAAATTTAAAAAGCTCTCGAATATCGTTTGAAATTCGAAATCAACGCAACGTGTACACGAAAATTGATATCAATTAGCACCAAGCTACTCGCGACTTACCGACCCATATCTCATATTTTTTTCGCTGGTTTGGTCGATAACATCGTATTTGATACTACACTATACATATAAGAGATTTCGTTACGAAATGATATTTTTTCTACGTTGTGTAATTTGTTTCTGTTGTATCGATAAAATAAAATTCAATTTAAAAAGTATCGTAATAAACGATATAAGCATTTTATCCGAAAGAATTATGCCCAATTCTGTTCGCGAATTGACTCCGTGAGGATTGTAATCTGTGAGTTAACCAGAGGCCAACAAGCTCATAATTCGTAATACAGTCGTAACGAATAATAAAGAAAAACAAAAGGGAGTGACGATTAAAAAGGGGCATTTGATATTGGCGCTCGGCCTGCGCGTAGCTAAAATCAATGAGTCCACCCGGCGACTGTGTCAGTTCAGTGCAACTCTACCAACGTCGCGACGGAGCCGCGTTTGGTCTTCCCTATCCCTACGCTTTACACGACTTTTCTCTGAAAATTCGTATTATCACGCAATAAAAATCATGTAAAATTAGATTGAAATGCCAAGTCAGGAAGATATGGACCTTTGTACCGACAAGGTACTGTCCAAGGGGAGAATACTTCAGGAACTAACGAAAGCTGTCAAATTGGTGAGTGTCTGCTCCAGCATAGGGATGACGTATCAAGGCCATACGTCATTTATATGTATACGTATGTAGATAAGTTTGTATGCACCTTCGTAACGCGGATTTAAATCTACATGGATCGCGATGCAAACCTTAATCGTCCTCTAATTTCGACAGAATTCGTTCTCTTTTCTTTCCTAAACTTGTTCTCTAAATACAATCTGGTCTCTCGAACGACTTAACCATACGGAGTATGTAAGTACGTTAAATCGAAACTGCACGCACACGCGCGCTTTAGCGCGTCAGCCGTTTAACATGCTTCGAAGCATTTTATTGTCTCCTGTTCTTTCTGAACTCGAGGTATATACATGTGCTCTACGTCATCAATATTTTTCATTTTTCGTGCGCGATTCCCTTCGCATCACAATCTATAACGTGACTTGTGACTTGTGACGACGTGCCTTTTTTTTTGCTGTTTATTCATGCACCTGTCAGTTAACCGTGACATTTCGTTCGCTGCTCTTTTGGATCCCCGCGGATCGATGAATCCGCGTTCTTCTTTTCTTTGTAAATTACTTTTCTTGTTTCAATTCTGATTTTCGTCGCGTTGATGCCCGTACTGTGTACGATCATTGTTGTGGTTTTTTATCACCTTGCGAAATCTTTACAACGACAGTAGTATGTCATGGAATAGTTATGCGTAAGTATTTTGTTTATTTTGTGTTTCGATAATGTATCTATCTTCTAAGGAGTTTATATAAGTTTTGCTTAAACTCCAGATTTACAGTTACAATTAACCATTTATTATTAAAATGATTTTTATTATTAACATTTGATTATCGGCTAAACGAAATAATCTTATCTGTTTTATATAGGTTTATGCTCAGAGCCTGTACGGTACGGTAGCCTTAGATGGAGATTCTTGGTTGGTCTATTGGTTAGATCGAGCATTACGCCATGGACTACGCGTAGAACGACACGGGTATTGGGGTACTGCTCGTGAACTTAGTCACCAAGATACCGTTGTTGTAATTCATGCTCTTCAAAGTGTCCTAACTTCCATCGGAAAAGGTATGCCTATATTTTACATCTAATTTGAAAATGAATATAAAAATTGTGTAATTCTAACAAGAGAATTCTGTTACGTAACATTATGTATTTTATAGGTCGAGCATGGCTTTACCATACCCTCAGCGAAGGCAGCTTTGAAAGTTACTTAGCCTGTTTGTTACGGGACACAAAGACATTAAAAAAGCAGTACTTTCCCCATGCCCTTGTTCGAGACGCTGATAAGACCAATCAACTAGTTAATCTCCTCGCGGGTCTAGAAAATGTATCCTTCACATTGGAACTGGTATGTTGAACTATTATTATACTATAAAAGTTTAAAAGGTTCTTTCTGATATACTGTACTTGATAAATTTTAATACAATCATGTTTCTGGTGTGTTATAAAATGTAGTCTGTATATACATTTACGTCCTATATAGAACGAAGAATACATGCTATATCCTGTACTCTTCTTTCGATTTTTATATTTTATATGTATCTTAAACTTTAATTGGTGTTTTTTGACAAGATTTATTTCACAAAGTCTCTTTAGAATGCACAGATATCTGCTATCGTATGCAACAAGCATCTATTCTTATACTTTTGCGTTTTATAGAGTCACAATAAACGCCAGTGACGATATCGACGTGTGGTCGTCGGCATTTTACAGTAACGTGTTTTGCAGTTTTTTACTTGACTTCCCTCGTGTTGATATCAGTATCACCCCCTGGTTACAATTATCTCGATAATAAATAATGTCTGTCACTTAGCAAGAGTTGCATACCAAGCTGAATCTGTTTTCATGAATTTAAGGGGCAATAAGTTATCTTTAATGGACACCTATTTTTCATTCATGTTATATCACCTTCTTTGTTTGTTCATGGAAAATCCTTTGAGAACAATTTGTACTTATACGTGTATCGGGCAATTATAATTTTTGGTTCACGATAAAATAACGAAAGATACAAAATATAGTAAATTTTTTTGCTACCTAGGACGTGACATATCTGGATACCTGCAATTATATGCCTCAAAGGCCTATGAGCGTAAATCCTTCCGGAACCATATTATCGTTACATCTTAGATCGTCTAGTGTTTCTTCGAGTTTAGCTTCTCCTGGTGACAGTGGTGTTGCATTTGACAGCGATATGGATCTTGCAAATGAGACTGACGCCAGTAGTTATAAAGAGGTATATTTCGTTTTAAAGAAATCCATACTTGAAGAGTAACTAACATTTTGTATAAATTACGGGATTATTTGTATTCTTTAGGAAGACTTTAATCTCGAAGAAATTCCAAAGTATCGTAATAATAGATACAAGACGATGATAAACAATCGCATGGAGGACAATAAAAACTTAAGTTCCAGCGATTCTAGCGAAGATGGAAAGACACCTACGCCATCACCTGGAATGGTCACGAAATTTCAAAATACATCTGTGACGAAAAGCGACATAGAGAATCAAAACTTAACAAGGAAACTCGATGACAATGAGCTTAATTGTTCCAGTCTGGATACTTTAAAGGATTTCGATTTTTATAGTAAAAGCCTGGACGAGTCCAAGTTAGACAAAATAAATAGCAAGCTTGACAACGGCGTCAAAGAATTAAAGAAAAGAAGCAGCTATTACAGCGACGGTAGTTATAGTTTTAAGAGAAACGTTGATCCCCGTAATTCCTACGTAATTAATAATGACACGAATCTCCTGGAACTCAGCATGACTATTTCGGATTGCGAAAACATGGAAGCACCTTACGGTATTTTGAATACCATCAACGTGACGGACTCTAGTATTTTGTCATCTTCCAACTCGGAAGCTCTGGTGCAACGTAGACAACGTAAAAAGAAACGCGGGGAAAGTAAAAAGCGCGTCAGTTTTCACGAAGATATTTTGAAAACTATGAAATTGGATGACGATGAGAACTACGCTGATTTCTCTATGAGTTTCTTAACACTTAACTCGGTTCAAAAGAAAGATGTTCAGAAAGGAAGATACAGTTGGTGTGCCCACGGAGATTCCCCTTACGTTCAAAAAAATGTAAACACTAGGAACGCACACTCGGATTATTATTCGTACTCCTCGTCATCAAGTATCTTCGACAGTGACAACGAGAAAAAAACTTGTATAAAAACGTGTGAACAGTCACTGTGTCAGAGCAACTGTAAATGTGCTTGTGGATTGTCGATTTCGGAACGCGGTGTGCCAGAAGGTCAAGAGGATCCTGGTAAATCGTTAAGACCTAAAATGGAAATTGAATTGGAAGAGAACGAGGCGCAAGAGGCGTATATTGTTGAAAAAGCCTACGGAAATATCGTGGAAGATCCTCCGGCGAAAGTCGATATGCCTTGTCCATCCAATTCCAGAAAATACTCTAGTTCCAATGATTGGTCCGATGTAGATAGTACTACCACATCGGACTTGGATGAACGTAGAAATAGTAGGCATCTAGCTTCACCGTCGAGAAAACGTAATATGACGTCGATATTGACCGGGGAAAATAGCAACAAATTATTGGCACCGCCGCCTTTAAGACAGGCACCATCTAAGACATCGTTATTGAGTAGATTCTTGAAGTCTATCACGGAGCGAAAATTCGAAATTAAAAGGAGCAAAAAGTCACAAAAATCGAATCCGTTGTACATCAAGGGAGTGAAAACAAGCTATGATTCGTTTAAAGATTTTAACGACAATCTTGATCGAGAGATACAAGAGAACGTTGAAGCGGAAAAACAAGAATTCAGCGGTGAGAAAGTTAGTTTAAAGTTACGAGAACTGTTTAAAAAACACATATACAGAGACAAAACGGAAGAATTATACAAGGTATACAAAGTTAGGAGTTCGTACATGACAAATGGAGAAAGTAAACCAATGATAGCCTTATTAACAGACAAGACGCTATACTTGACAGGCTCGAAACTGGACCACACTTATAGCAATCAATTCGTTATTCCTTATAACGAGTTAGATGTTATTATGGTACGTTTCGATCAAACAAAGATGTTCTTTGTCAAATCTATATTTAACAGTTTTAGACATAAAAATTACTTTTCAGATTGGACCAAATGCACAAACAATATTATTATCGAACGCGGATTACGAGATGCAATATTTATTTTCTACGGGAAGTTCCCAAACTACTTCAGAATTAATTGGTCATCTAGAAATGGCAATGAGACGATCTCCAACAAAACCAAAGCTTCCAGCAGTCAAAGAATTGAGCTACGCGGACATGCATATTTTAAGACACTCGATTCTTTGCGATACGGCTGTACATCCTGTACGTAAACACGAAAGTGACTCCGAATCATTCGTTGATACAAATGTTAACTCGAAACTAACCTATAACTTCTTAAAATTTTAGGATGAAAGAATCGAACATTACAATCTTATATATATGGAAGATGAACACATGTCACCTCCTAGCACACCGTGTGGACCGACCAAGGAGGGTGACCTTATGTATAGACCACACACTTATCAGCAGCTTCATCCTAATGCTCCTACGAATCCATGGGAAGCGGGATATTTTGTTCTGAAAGGTGGTGTTGTTTATATGTTTACGGATGCAAATCAACGACTTCCCAAACGAGCGATTCCATTGAAGGGTGGTCTTTGTCAAGGATGTCGAAGAATCCCTAATTCCCATCGTCCGCATACGTTCGAAATACTTTTAAAGCCGAACAAAGCCTTTCAATTCGCCGCTCCAGACGAGTATGTAGCTTCAGAATGGTTGCAAAGTTTTGTTCAAAGTGCATCCGGATTGTTCGACGCTTCGGAGAATAGGGAACCTTTACCGTGCAGTCTTATCATGACTACCAAGCACTTGGTTGCCATGAAGGAAGTATTCCCTGGTAAGCAGCGTGGACAAACGCTTTCCTGTGCCTCTGTAGAAGACCTCACGGCCTTTAGAGTACCTCTGACTCAACAATCTTGGTGCATACTGGTAAGTATTTTGACAGGCTTGTTGCGTATTGCGTGATTCCATAACGGTTATTTTTTTTTTTTGCTAATTCAAAGGAGTTCGCGTGTCGAGAAGTACACGAAAGCAGTGGCGATTGGGTCATATATTTCACAAATTATACAGAACTGTGCACCTTCAGAGAGATTTTGGAAACGCTATGGGCTGATGCAAGTTTGGTGAGATGCTCGTATATTTTAAAAATAAAGATTATTCTGCATATGCTGTCAGATAATTCTAATTAAATTGTATACTTTTAGGGTGAATTTCCTATGGTAACGCTTCCGCCAGAAGATAGGCTTCACCGACGTTGCTCGGATGCTAGTAAAGAACTAGAGTTTGCATGGCGATATTTACTACCCTCGGAAATCGACTAAATATTGAGATGTGCCGATAGACAATAGCGAGCATGATTGTATCGGGTAAGAGAAATTTACAAAATGTAAGTATTCGACAATTCAATTCGCAAATATACATATACAGCGATACGATTGACTTGAATACAACGGCTAAAGTCACTCGCTAAGCATCCACGTAATGAACACATTTAACTTCGCTCGAAATGGATGCGTTATGTTTCTCCGCATCAGCGTGAAGTGATGGCGTCATATAAGTATAGGTATTTAGCGATACATAATATCGATGTGCTAATTCAACCAAACGGTGCAATACCATTCTAATAAAATAAGCCACCTCGATAATCTCTATCATTAATAATGATGCAAGATTGTAATATAACGATGAGTGCATATGATCATTGTACCAGTTACATGGATGTCTATATATTCACATTTATTGTAAGAACTAATTCGCATTTGAAAATGCACCATCGATATTGAACCATTCTTAAAACAAATGCTAATAAAGTGGCAGTAAGACATAGAGCAGCTTCAATAATAAAGAATACTCTATTATACATTGAAGTAATTGTATGACATTATAGTTACACATTCCTAATAGTAATATTGATAATGACAGTAATTATAACAACACAGCTTTCTAATTTTATTTTTAATACCTTCTCTTTTTAATATGCGTATTTCATAGCTTCAAAATTGTAAACTGTTTTAGAGCTATATTGCTTTGTTTTCAGTTGCATTGGTATAATAATAACTGATCATGAAAGATAATTATATCATATCGATCTGAAGGTGCTTTTACTTAATGATTCAATATTTCAAATGACGATTCAATACTTTCCTTCTTTACGTAGCGTTGAAATCTTAAACATCGTCAAAATAAATATATCGAAAGAAACTAGGATGGAATAGTTTTGTTGCGTTATTCAAAAAATTGTTTTCCTTAAATATCAACGGTACCCTTTTATGTAGAAGAAACAAATCATTTTATGCGCCAAAGAAGTTTCTTCTAAAGTGCGAATTAATTTGTTGTTCGAATGAACGATCCTGTATGTTTTCTTTTTATTAAGTCATATTTTACGTTACCGAAACTACATGAATGGATGCAGTCTGTAAATCAATTGTGAATAAAATCGTAATACTATATGCATCATTTCATGTAGTCGTAAATAATTGTGATAAAGCATTTAAACAATAAAGCGTTAAATTAATGAATTTCTGTATTACACGATAACAAAATCGGAAATATAATCAGTTCCCTGTGTTAGTTTCCAGCGCGTGTAATAGGACAAAGTATTACACTTCTTACATGCTTCGTATAAGCATGATTCTTAATTATTATGACTACGGAATTTTTGCACAATGTCAATGCCGTCGGACATAACCATCAAAGTTACAAAAAAAAATGAATAGAAATAAAATTATGACTAGTCAACAGAATACCAGTAAAGACGAGTTAAATTCTTTCCCGTTGTTTATTTTATTTCATTAACAAGTGTGTGTTTTGCAAATTCATTACATTCGTAGATGTCCTAAATAAATGGATAAGCAGCAATTAATCGATAGCGAATTATCGCATTATCCAATATAATATATGCGTTACTGCACTAACCACATTTTACGTATTAATTATTATACAATCACGAAAATATTTTATGTATTATATACAGCTATTTTATGCCTTTTTATAACATTTATGCATTTGCGTTAATATTAATCATATTGTTTTCTCTGACCAATTGCTAACATTTTAAAAGTTTTCCTCGATTGAAGAATGTTTAAGCAATGCAAATGTTAATAAGTGGTGATACCACAAGTGGGAATTGGACAGTTTTTCTTGGAGAATACTTTTAGTTATCTTAAATCTAGATACCTACGTTAAAGTTAAGATTTCATTTGATTCTAAAGGTATAATTTACAGAAAAAAATGCATTTATTCGCGTTGGAAATGTCCATCCACCTTTCTCGTCTTCATTAATTTCTCTATATCTGCTCCTGGATACTGTTCCTTTGCAGCTTCAATATCAAGGTTTGGGAACATTCGCATTAGAACACCTACGCGATTGCTCTCACGGCTGAAATTTAAAACGATTTAAATAATATTTTGATATGGCAGACTAAATTAGTAGAAATTTAACAAATATTTTCTGATAAAATAATAGCGATACAAACTTTCGTTGTCTGCGTTTTATATTATACAGTTTCTCTCTATACAATCGTAAAAATTTCTGAACAGCAAATCCCCCGTAACCAAACATGTATCGTTTGTGCCATCTAGTATTCATATACTTTGGTACACTATACTGACTCATTCGATAAAAGTAACGTAAACCTATGAAACAAAATTCAAGAGTTTCATTTTTTTATTGCAATTTTTGTTTGTCATGACATACATGCCAAATATGAAACATATCATACCAAGAGCATTGTATGACAGTTGTGCGGGTCGTTCTCCAGTTGTTCCAGTTTCAAGTTTGTAATATGCCTGGTTTCTTTCACGAACCACAGACTCCAAGTTTGACATGCTATTCAAGATTTTATCGATTCTTTCTGGATTAGGGAAGTATTCAAATTTTTCCTTGTAAGCTTGTTCCATAGTTAAAAGCATATTGTATTCTTTCAGTAGCACAAACCTAAATATTTTACAAATAATTACCATTATAATATATTACATTTGCATGTGTAATATACTAATATGATGTTTACCATAACTTGTGAAGATCTTCATTGCTTTTTAACCTTAATTCGTCTTTCCGCCAAGACCGTCCTACCTTTACTGTACTCTTTCCCCAATTGTCCTTATCATCAAAGAATTCCATTAAGTCATTTTGTTTAAGTGTAGTATGGATGAGTGCATATTGAGAGTTAGGTATCCTGAAATATAACCTCAAATATTTAGTGCTAATTATAAATAATTCAATATTAACAAAATGAGAATCACTTTAAACATAATATAACGTAACATAAATGTTTATAGATCTTGTAGAACCGCTTTAGTTTGCATGTTAATCGGTAAATAAAATAAGTATCGTATGAAATGCGTGGCCGTTATGCATGTTGAAATCGTAAGAATTAAATGAAATGAAAATAAATAACGAACCATTGTTTACGTATAGGGCTCAAGATGGACTTAACATTTGGAGTCAAAGACAAGTTTGTTAACAGTTTCGTTACATTATTTACACTTTTCGAAATTTGTACAGCTTTTGCAAGAGCTGCCATTTTGCTACTTTGGTGAAACTAATTTGGTGAATCTACGATGGCGCCATCTATCGGCAAGACGTTCAAGTTTGTAGTGATAATAGTTTTCATTGTTACCGCTAGATCTAAGGGTGAAAGACCGAACTAATTTTCGGAGTTTGGTTAGCGCTTCTATCGGGAGAACACCCAAGTCTGTCGCCGATTAGTTCCTTCTCGCAACGCTAGATGGCAACACCATCGACATTGAACAAATGGCGCCATCTAGCGTTGCGAGAAGGAACTAATCGGCGACAGACTTAAGCGTTCTCCCGATAGAACCGCTAACCAAACTCCGAAAATTAGTTCAGCCTCTGAACACTAGATAGCGACGACCATAAAGGTTAGTGGCGGCGTCTAGCATTAACCACTTTCACTACAAACTTGGACGGTTTACCACCGATGGCGCCACTGATGCAAAATTCCCAGGGTTCTGATCCAAGCTTTTTAATTTTTATTTATGTAAAATCTAAAGAAAATAGCGACTCTTATAAGAGTAGTACGAGTTTCGAAAACTGCAAATAATGTAAATAATTAACTTACGTTAATAAGGGGATAAGGTTTAAAAATAAAACACATTTATTGTAATAATTGTAATATTTATTATCACAAACTATGAGTTAAAACGTACACAGTAATGTAAGAAAAACTAACCGTGATGTTTATAATTGTTTCTTATAATCCTCTATAAGTAATTTCATCATGCAGACATGTTTTCAAATATAATTGAAAAAATCATTCGATTTGACATCGTTACGAAGATAAAAATTCGCTGCTACAAATACAAGTTATTTTAAAAATCGTCTAAATTGTAACTAAAGGTGTTTTCAACAAACAGACGATCGTTCTATAATTTACAGTTTGAAGATTTCTATAAAATTCGATTCACGGTGATTAGTAGAAAATATTTAATCGATATATTCTATCGCCAATAAATGGATCAAAAAGTCGATCAAAGGCACCTTTTCAGACATTAATTACACTTAGAATTACATAAAAATTATATTGCTTTAATGTACTACTATATACACTGGTGATCTAATGTGTTATCGATTGATATGAGTTTATCATTATTGCCTTCGCAAGCCATTTAAAGGGTTTATATTTTATTAAATTTTGTCTTAAAAAAAATATATATATAATATATATATATATATGCTTAAAATTTAAAAAAAAAAAAAAATAAAAATGAAACTGCAGTTCACGGAGATGTTAATTTGTTGCGATAAATACTTTCTGTTCGATGGAATTGCGTATTCTGGAATGTGTTACCGACAATGAAAATGAAGACATCCGCGATACGACAACATGAATGATAATCATTTTTAAAAGTTCACAAAGGGTTTTTAAATATTTTAGTCGTGTATGATAGTTGAACTGCAATTTCGATAAGCTAGATCGAAGAATTTGGTCGTTCGATTGTTGATTTCTTTAACTCGATGTTCTTCACGCCGCGGAGATTATATATATAAACAATTACTGCGATTTGTATAACGATAAAAAAAAAAAAAACGAATTCTTAAACAATAACAAGGTATACCACATGATACTATAATCACATAAATGCTCGATATCCAGGCTAAGGACCTCTGCCTCACACGGTTCCTTACTTTGACTCGGAAAACGTCGCGAATGTTTTCGTAAAGTCAACGAAACAAAATACCGGTCTCCGTTTGTCCCTTAGTTTTTTCATCGTTTGCTCTGGAAATGTTTCGTCGTTATTTTCGAACATCGCGAGGCAATGACTAATGGTAAATGTTACGAAAAATTACGCGTTGCGGAGATCAGTCTGGTATTTTTACGGATAACCTCTACCGGACACACAGTATAATAAGTCCCTGCGATATAAATTTGTCTTTAGGCATTTCTACAGGCTGAAACTGCCGTATACGTTTTCGAGGTTACTTTCAGATTCGAAAAAACAATGCAGTCACATTCTTGCGATCCTTTCAAACGAAATTAGTCGAGGTGAAATAGTTTAGCCCGTTTCGTTGACAACGAAAATAATCAGGATAAATAAATTTCATGGTTTACTTACCTTGTACGGTATATCACTATACAAGCCTGTCCAAAATTTTAACTACGAATAAACTTTTGTCGTCGAGCCATTTTATATGAAAAAACTTACTCCGAATAGTTTGTTCCATACCGTTGTCGCCATATAAGTTTCGTGGCTATTACTTTCGGAATAGCGTTACAACGTTCGCGACAATATACAATGTTAAAATACTCGGTTTTTTCTTTGATGTGACTCGAACGTTTCGATTATAATTAAATGCGCACTGTCCTCATTTTGTAACTTTAAAAATCGTTACCCGTTACTACGCGACAATTGACAGAGTGACAAACGTGCCATTGCAAGGAAACGGTTCCGTACGTAAAAAGTCCCAGACTTGGTACAGTATACGCTTAGTAGGAAGTTTGGTCTGACAATTCTGTACCAACCGATGAGTGCGCTTCGATTACGATATACCCATGTGAATCACATGTGAATGGTTGCTGCCGTGTAACGTGCTTCTCCTCTTCGCCAACTCCATTGACTTGGTCGGTACTATTCAGAAATATGAAACACGTCACATTGTTTGTTCGTTCTTTCACGTAATAAACAATCGACATCGATAATTCTTACCCTGATCAACATCTGTCCGGACGCGCTATGAGGATTGCGATAAGCGTACGCAGCCCAGGCCACCAAACCCATGACTAAACCGACCACGAGGAGAATTCCAATTATTCCAGAAACTCCCATGTTCATATTGTTGTTTCGACCTGATCGAATTGCAAACAAGACGAACGATTGATAATAGTTTCTTGGAGACATATTCAAGAATATACAGGGTGGGAGAAAGCTAAAATATCTCGATTTTCGATTTTACCAAATTCCAAGGAACTCGTTCCGGGTCTCTCCTGCTTGGCGTTCATTTCACTGACGGTAACAGTCTCCTCCGAATGCACGTGCAAAACATGGTTGAACTCTTCCTCGTGTTCCTTGTACGTAGTGGTGGGTGGTGGGCAATTGTCGACCTCTTTTATCTTCCTGACGTCGCAACCCTTCAACAACCAATCTTGCCGCGATCTGAACGTTCCCGTGCTACACTGATTCAACTCGGAACACCATTTGCAGTCGAAATCCTTCAATTTGGTTAAGCAGTCTCTGCAGTTGTCCATTTCCAAGCAGGTGGGTAACGCGTTCAAATAGATCA